TAGGACTTTGATCCGTCTCTCCTCTCTCTCTCTCTCTCTCTCTCTCTCTCTCTCTTTCCTAAAGATGCAATGGGAGGCCCGACTGTACTCCTCCGTGATGGGTCCACTCAAGCAGGGTCGACTGGCTGGCATGAAAGGAGGGCTTTCTTGTCCACACTATCAATGTGCACTCGGGTACTCGGTGTGTCCTTTGGGATCGGGTTTCTGCGTGTCGACAGATAGCTCGAGGGTACGGGCTACTACGCGGGGGCAGGTAATGCGCAAGAAGAGAGAGGGAGTCTAGGATGTGGCCTAATTCAGGAAAAGGAGGGAGATAGGGACCACGCACTCGAGGTTATTTTCTTTTACTCAATGTATTCTCTCTCCTTTCGACGAGATTTAAAGTCAAAAGCAAACGACAAGTAAAAAAATGAGTGTGATGGCTCTCGCTTGTATATAGCGGGGATTGAGTTGGGTTGGACTCTTTTTGTGAGGAAGCTTGATTTTCTTGGACATCCTTTGAAGGTGGGGCTTGCTCGTCAGTAAGAACTATTTGACTGTTCCAAATGTAATTTTCCAAGATGGAGCGGAACCCGCGGTAGCAGGATAAGTCATGTCCTCCTAGTTGATGGTAGTGGCACCAAGAGTTTTGGCTTTTTCACATGGTTGATTTCTGTTTTTTGGGCACGCGGGGCGCTATCATTCCATGTTGGGCTATCATGTCGAAGAGGGCAGGGAACCAACTGGGAGATAATTTGGTTGCGAGAGCATCATCAGTCGACTCTTCTTGGACTGTGACCATGTGTGAGGTCCCTGGGGTCTCGAAAGCATTCTTGAGGCTTTCTAGGTTGATTTCGATGTGATATTTTAATTGAATGCAGTCTTGGTCTGGGTGGCCTAATATCCGATGGTAGGCACAATACCTAGCATGATTGAAGAGCTCTGCTTGATTCGGCTTTTTGATGGGGGGCAGGACCACCATATCCTATTTGAGCAACATTTTGAGGAGAGTTAGAACCCACTCTTTGTTGAAGTTGAATTGTTGGTTCAGCCTGCGCATGAACTCTTTAGTTAGGTGGTAGTTTTGTGGTGGTGGCACGTTGTTATAACCCTGCTTTTGAGAGGGTTGCTGCTGTGATTCTACTTGGTTTTTGAGCGGTTTCCCTCGAGACGTATCCAGCGTCAGTAAAGGAGCAACGTTGGTTGCAGTTTTAACGTCGAGAGGCGTGTTCATGACAACAGCGCTGATCACATTTTTCTGTTAAGGTGGGGGTTCAAGCGATTGCCTCCAGTATTACATGCTTGGCTGTTGCCTAAACCTTGGGCTCGATCTCCTCCATGGTGTTTCAACAAGCTTTCAATTTTTGCTACTTTGGTGGGGTTAGAAGCCTCGACATGCAAGGCAATTTCTCGGTTCATATTCCTTACACACGTTTGCACCGCTTCAACCTCACTCATAGGATTGCTAAGGCACATTGTGAGGTCATGTCATCTCTGGATGTATTTCCCCACTGACTCACCTGGCTCTTGTGTCATGGTGAGGAGCTCTACAGTTTGGACTTCTAATTTTGCTTCTACGAAGTGTTTGTAGAAGAGTAGCTCCTTTTCCTCCTAGGAATGGACCGAATTTTTTGGGAGACACGCGTACCATTTAATGTGAGTCCATCCAAAGTTTCGACTAACTTCCGGAGGAGTAGCCTGGTGTCCGAGGCCGATTCTTGGCATGCAGACACGAAGTGGGCTACATGTTGTTGGGGTGAGCCAGTACCGTTGAAGACCGGCAATCTCCCTTTTTGATAACCGACGGGGAAGGGGATTTGATCAATAAAAAGTGGGTAAGGCTTTTCTGACGCCTTTGATATCTACAAGCCCTAGATGCTTTTATTGATCATCCTTTGAATTTCCTCTTGAGTGAATGCTGATGATGCAGCCTGGGAGGCCACGTTGTGCTGATCCTCAAAGGAGGTGTGTCGGTTGCATGGCGTTGAGGCCTGGCCCATGGGAGGTGGTTATGACCTCTCTCTTTCCTCACGTTGGAGTCCGCGGGGAGAAGTCGCTTCCTGGTGGGAAGGTGTCGTAGTTCAAACATCCTCCAGCCTCTTGATCCTATCAAGGATATCGCTTAGCATGCTTTCGATGTGTCCCGTCGGATTTTCAAGCTCTCCCTCATCGTGGTTCACCACCATTACCTCAACCTGTTCGTCGGGGCTAGACAATTCGGCAAGAAGGGTGACTCTGAGTCTCTTCATACCTCGGTCAGGGACACCAGGCAGCAGAGGCTGAGCCTACCCGATCTAAGCCTGTAATTAGCTTACAGCCCGTGTGAGTACTAGTTCAGGGCAGCCCTAGGGACAGGGCTTCGCTGAGTTCGATGTTTGAAGGCCTTGAGGCCATTGCTCGACTCGAATGGGCACATGACGGCCTTGGGACCATATCTCCTTAACTTGTTCATGTTCACCTGAGGCCCGCAGGTCAGGTGGGTTGAACCCGTCCTCATTTATCTCGACAATGTGGCATTCAACAATGTCATCCGCCGCAAGTTCTCTTGCGCTTTGTAGCGGGTAAAATCGGTTCTTTTCTAGGAAACCTTTTGTGGTTGAAGGTTCTACTATTCCTTTCTGTAGGGGCGTCTCTGTTTGCCCTGCCCCCTTGCATCATAAACGCCGATTGGCTATTGGAGAGGAAGATTCTAGAGTAGTCTTCAGCGGATCAGGCTTACTTGAGCGAAGGGTCAGCTAGACAGTTCCCTTTGCACGTGATATTCCCCGAGGCCTGCCCCGAGGGATATCTTGTGCATACAGCGAGGGCGAAGTTAATAGCATCGTATTCACAGGGAACTTCTTTGAATACCAAGTAGCGGACAGCTTTTGATCAGCAATTCGGGCCTTCGGTGCGTCCTCCCTTCTGCTGGAGGCGTGCCTGACCACCCTGAACATGTGTGTACGATCTATAGAAGTGCACGGGATGACCCCGTTGATTTGGTAGGCCTTACGACCTTTAGCATGCATGTGCACGGGTTTGTGGGATCTTCAATTGGCCCGAAGATCGTGTGCTCGTTTAGCCCCCGCTTTTGGGATGCCCAGAGCTACAAGATCATTATGTGATGTGCAGGTGGCCAACGGACCACGTGTGATGAGCCTGGGTTTGAAGGGACCCACAACAAGTAAAGGGGCTGAGATAGGCCATGGCTTGCCCTAACTTGTCATGGCGATGGTTAGATCATCGGCTGTGACGTAAGTCTGTGAGTAGGAGGACGTGTCCGTGTCGGTGACGCCCTTGTACAACACAGGTGGTCCCACTTTTTGGTCACCCATAGAGGTGGCGGCCTTTTTAGGGCTCTCCAAGTGAAAGAGAGCAATGGCAAAAGATCTGCGTCTGATTTTACGACCGGCAGGGTGCCAGTCGGCAATATGTGAAGGGGTGACTACAACACCGCCTAGATAGTCGACCTTAGTGGTTCTTCCCCAGATGTTGGAGGGAACAGAGGAGAAGCATGAGTGCCCGCGCTCCAAATTTCCCTAGGCTGAACTAGGATGGTGGGTTCCGTCAGCCCGCTCGAGTATAAAAAGGGCGGGATAGAATTAGTTAATCTGCCCACAGAAGAGGGAGTCACGGATATGGGGATGAAGAAATCCCCGATTTGGAGAAGAGAGGAAGAGTGGAAATCCATTGCAATTTTAGAAAGAGAGGAGAGGAGGGTTTTCGTCTGAAAACAGTCCAAGCCAATTATAGGGTGGCATTTCCCCAGTGAAGACGCCAGTTGGTCGGGGCCTGAATTTCTTCACAGTCCTCTTGTGGGTGGCTAGGAGAAAATCCTCTATCAACAACCACGGAGGGCTCACACACGTGACGTGTTTGGGGTAGTGAGTACGTGTGCTCTCCTGAGCGTGGATAAGCTACCAACAAAGAGAGAGATTTTACGATGAAAGAAAGTTGAACTACTTACCTCGTCGTTGTGGGCTCGTGGGACACGTCCGGGCGATTCGCCCTCTTAGATCAATTATTAAAGCCCTCCGACTGTCTACCATCGTGGTTTTGACAGGGACTCTCTTCAGACTCTGCACGACTCTTTTCTGCCCTCTCGTACTTAGATTGCAATGGACGTTCAATTCCTCTCCTCAGTGATGACTCTCCTCAAGTGATGTTTATCGGCTGGGAGGCTAGCGATCCAAGAGTTAAGCTCGCCTTACTGTTAATTCAGGAGAATTTTCCTCGAATAGCCGAATAAGAGGGCAGACGTGCGTCTTGATTCGGTTAGACTATTCGAGGAAAGATTGGCGCGGTTGCGTGCGAGGCGAGACTCTCTGGCTTGTTCACATCAGCGTGATTTGGCGCGGGTGTGGGATTACGTGTCTAGAAAGAAGAAAGAGAGAGTTTAGGATGTTAGGTGCTTTAGGAGAAATGGGGTGCGGACCCACGCGCTCAGGGGTATTTTCTCTCTCCAAAATTTTCTCTCTCTCCTTCATGGGGTTTAGGGTTTAGGGGCAAAAAGACAAGCGAACGCAAGCGTAATGCCTCTCCTTTGATGAATGGTAATCCTCTTTTACAATTGACCTAAGCTTGTTTATGTAGAGTTCTCACCAAACACGGGTGAATGCTCAAAAATCATTCTTAAATACAATTAAAATAAATTAACATAAAGTCTCGAAATTGGGTATAATGACTAAAATGCCCTTAAAATCTTTTGTGCAAATGAAAGAATCATCCCTTCCTGAGAAGCCCACCGCCATTGCTAGACTTTGAGAGCTCTTTCGGGTACTTGCAGCGTCGGTTCAAATGATCTATTGTCCTATTCTTGAAGCTTGTTCGTTTGTGATTAATTTGACATCTTCTTATCGTGTTGCGGCAAACTCTTTCGTGAGGAAGAGAGTCCGACTAGATTTGTGAACTCTTCAATGGCCTGTGCTACTCGATCTGTGGTGTCCTACGCTTTCGTGTTGATTGCGAGTGTGGGGGGAAGTCTTCTCGGTCGTTTTAAACTAGGTTTGGTTTATTTTGGTCTTTACTTTGTGGTATTTCAGGTCCTATGAGATCATCGAAAGGGATTTCGACGACCGGGGGACTATGTTTTCTTCTACGACCTTGGGATGTGTGTCTTGTTTGACCTTCGATTGAGCGTTGTTGTTGTACTGGTTTTAAATTTCTTCGTGGAGGGGCTCTTTTGACTTCGGTTGCGACTGGCTCTGTTCTCTGCGCTGGTCGAGATATTCTTCTCTTGAAGACCCTAACCTCCATGGTTTCAGGTTGCCTTTCTTCTCCATAGGGGAGTTTTGACTGTGGGTCACGTGATGGTGCGTGTTGCACAGCATAACAATGTAGCTATCGAGGCCTTGCAGGTGTCTGGAACTTAGTTGTCCTCTTGTTGTTGGTGCAGGTTTACCAGCTCGTCAAGGAGGAGCTCGAAATCTCCATGGCCGACAACTGGTCCAGTGGGACCGCACAGTGGTAGCGTGCCCCTGCCTCACTTTGTGATAGCTCAGGTTTAAGGCCTTCTGGGTCGGCCCGATCGAGCCTGGGTTTGGTCCTTAAGAGCTCGCGACGGTGGCAGCTTGGCCTTCGCAAAGTCAGCAGTACAAGGCAACGACGTAAGGTCCTTTTCTTGGCATACCATTGCTTTCCTTACTATGAACCAGTTTTTAAACCAGCTAGGAAAATCTTCTGAGGTTTGTAATAGCGTAAACTATATAAACCAAATATGAGCTATAGATGTATTTTGATATGAAAATAGCATATCCCAAGCTTTAATATAATCATAATAATTGTATGCTCTTAATTTAGAGTTGGTATTTTGCAAATACCTTACTTTTAAAGGATCAAACCCCCAATCTTTATAAGGCAGGATAGTTTTATGGTCAACTTTGAGTATGTTAATTCATTGTTGTTTCTATAATGGTGCTTTATATATACTGACTTTGTTTCAGCCAGTATTTTCTCATAATATTCTCTATTTTTCCCTCGCATATTAGGTGCATATGATCTTTTAGATATATTTCAGCTATTATATTTGGCATTTGAGCCACGTGATCTTCCTCTATTATTATTAGAGGAATAACAAACGTCTCCACATAAGTAGTTCTTTCTGATGTTAGGTTTGATGGACTTTGAGTCTCTTCTTTTATTATGGATATATTATCCTGTTGTGAAGTCCTAGTTAAGGATGATGACGAAGTGCCTCCTTTAGCCATTATCTTATTTGGGCTATGGATTAGTACATTTTCTGGATTCTGCACCCTTTTTTGCTTCCTTTTGTCCCTATAAAAATTCTCGAGTCAAGAAGTCAGGCAAAGAATTTAATTCTCCTTTTATATGTTATATGTCAAAAATAAAAAATATAGAGAACCGCTTGCCATCTTGCAAAAATTTTTGTTGACGCTAAGTTTTTTCACATCCTTTTTTAAAATCTCCTTGACGAACTTACTATCAATCCTTACCAAAAAAAAAGTTATTAAGAAGGTCACTTTCGAATTTAATGATGCAATGTACAATAGCAACGCCTTCTTTATTACCTATTGAATAATTTTGTTGTGCAAGATTCCATGCCATTGATGTGAATCTTATCAACTATTCTTTTGGGTTGTTAGGAAATCCTTGATTAAGAATTCATCCTAACCCTATTTCTGAAGCATCTATTTCAACTATTTTAAATGCATTAAGATGAGAGATGGCCAAACATGGTTGCTCTTTAGTTTTAAGTTTTATTTTTTTAATTGCTATTTGACCACTCTGGTGGGTTCTTATTTAGCCGTTGAAATAAAAGCTTGCAATCCAAGGCTAAATCTTTATAATAATCTGATATATAATTTAAACTACCTAAGAACCTTTGAAGCTGTTTTTTATCCCTAATTTCATCAGGAAACTTTTTTGCAAGTTGTATTGCCCTTTCAATTGGGGCAATTGTTCCTTTATGAATATTATGCCCAAGAAATCTTATTTGGGTTTGGAAGAGTTTTATATTTTTAGCAGATACTACTAAACTAGCTCTTTTAACTGTCCTTAGAAATATATTTAAATGCTTCCAATGTTGTTCTATGGATTCTGAGAAAATAAGAAAATCAACAATATGGATTATGAGAAAATAAAAACATCAATAATATAGACAATAGCAAAATTGGTATAAAAATATATTATTCATAATATTTTGAAATTCAAATGGGGCATTCTTAAGCCTAAAAGGCATCACGTTCCATTCATAATGTCCGAAAGGAACTGTAAAGGTTGTCTTATACATGTCTTTTCCTATAATTTGGATTTTCCAATATCCAAATTTCATATCAAAGTTTGAAAAAATCACGGCATTATGAAGTCAATAAGAAGATCCCGTTTATTACGGATAGGGTATCTTTCCCACCTAAGGCCTTTATTGATAGGCTTATAATTTATTACTAATATAAGTACGCCTCTTTCTATTTCTATAGCCTTCTCAACATAGAAGGCTAGACAGCTTCAGCGAGAGTGGCTTGGCCTAATTGGGCCTTTATCCAAGAGCGCTTGAATTTCTTTTTTACAAATTTATAATAGTCTGTTATTCATTTGTAACGGCCTGAATTTGGTAGGAATAAGTCTTTCATTGAAATCAAGCTCATAGGGTAATTCTACTACATGTTGTTTTCTGTCCCAAAAAGCATTGGGTATTTCTGTACAAACTTATTTTTCTATCTTGCTTTGGAACTCTTTTATATCCTTTTGAATTTTAGGATTATCTAATCTTTCACTGATTGCCTTATGCTTTATTTCTTGTTTAAGACGTAACAAGAAATTTTCCTTATTCTCTATTTCTTTTTTTATTTGGTTGATTTCTTGAAACTTTTGTTTTTCTATGAATTCAAATTTAACCTTATAGCAGTTAATCTCTGACTGTATTATTGTTTCATCCAATCTTGTTATCGGATAAAGCATATTGAGGAATGGGGTACCTAATATAACAAGCTGACTCAAATTTTTTACCATGATAAAAGGCTTAATGAAGCAAGTTCGATTATTACATATAGCAGCCTATGATATTTTATATTTAATTTTCATTATGCTACTATCATCAGTATTGTGGACTTAGGTTGTTTTGTCGAAGTCCTTCATTTATGAAATTTATGCCAACCCCTGAATCAATACGAGCTATAGTCTAGAAGCTATATTCTTTGCTTATTATTATTGTGACTAGAGTATACCATTTTTGGGTTATTACTCTATCAATTAGGTTTATGTATTCTAAGTCCTTCATGTTTTCTTTTGCTAGAGTGTTTGCTACATTTTCTTCTAAATTTAATTCAGAAGTTTGTCCCATATCTTGGTTAGAAATCTGAGGTTTGTTTTGAGGGCTCTCCTCAAGGAGTTTAATTCTATATTCTTCCATTATTTCCTCAAATAATTTTTCACTTTCTGGATATTCTGGTTCTTGATTGGAAAAATCATTTGCTAATTCCAAAATATTAACTTTGTTTTTTAGAGCTATTAATTAATTACGAACTTCAAAGTTCATGTCTAAGTTCCTGAACGTTAGGGTCATTTTTTATGTTGTTTTTATTTTGGACCTTGTCCATAATATTTTTAAAATTATAAGGTTCTTGTTGGGATTGATTCATTGGCTTGGTTCTAGGACCTTTTTTAGACATTTTCATATATTATTGTAATGCCTCCTTTCTAGCTTAAATATCTTCAATCTTGTCTATAAGTTCTGTAATGAGGTTTTGTTCTTTAGCCAACACATTTAGCCCCAAAGCATTCATATTAAGAATAGCCTTATAATAATTGCATTTGCAATCATCATCATTGTTATCTTTCTCTTCAAATAATTAAATTTTCATCTTCAATATTCCCAATAACAAGTTCTTCTTCCTCAAAATCTGATAAGATTTCATTATTAGCTATGATTTGAATAATCCGTTGCATAACTTCTTCGTCTACTTTTAAAGAATTTATTTTCTTTTTTATTCTACATTTATTTTTGTAATGCCCTAGTTTCCCACAATTATAACATATAGGGATTTTTCTTTTATTACCTTATTTAGAAAATTTGGACCTATTCATTTTAAAAGGTTTATTTTAAAAAAAAAAAAGTCTTTCCTTTATATATTTTTTCATAATATTTATACTTACTCTTCTTTTTAGAGGTATATCCCCAAGTTCTCAGATCCGAATTTTTTATAGAAATCTCCTAGTTCTCTCTTCCCTGTTATTTGTCTTTTTCAAGCTGTTTTTTGAGCCTAATATCAGTACGTATAGCTAATCCTTCGGCACAAATTTCAGAGGAGAGTTGTCCCAAAGTATATTTTTTCCATGGTATTATCCCAACATTATTATTCTTTAGAATAACGACAATATTTGGGTCTGTATTCCCGTTATTCTTAGAGGTTGTAGCATAAATAGCCATATGCTTCATCAAAGTTATGATCTGATGCTCAAACATTTTGTCAATATTACATTCTACTATGGATCTACCAGTATATTCTGCAGTCTACTAAGGTTTAGGGTAATACATTTTTGTGGGGGTAGTAGGAACTGTTTTAGTTCCATAGGTAATTCTATTTATCTCCAGGTTGGAATTAAACCCCTTTTCGATCTTGGCTATTTCCTCTTCTGAATAATCTTCTGCTATATCTTGCAGGGTTAATGCCTGTCCTGAACATTGGGGGTCATCCTTTTTAATATCTAATTGAGCTAATTTGACAGTAAGTTGATCTAAAAATTCACTGGTCACATGATTAAGCTTAAAAGTTTTATTTCGAAATTCCGGAGGAGGTCTAAACATTATTGGTTATTTTCCCTTATTCTTGGTCTGTGGTTTTTGTCCTAGATTTTCAGGACTTAGTTTTATACTTTCTCCCTTACTAATCGCAAGTCCTATCCTAGAAACATGTTTTCCTAAGCATTTTAAATACAGGTTTGTATAATTATTTTGTTCAATTACATGATTTATGCTTTCTAATGTTACAGTTTGATTCATTCCTTTTGGTTCTAGTTTATAAGGAACAAATTTTACTCCTTTAATATCCAGGGGCATCTCAGGAGGATGGACAGCATGAATTTCCTTGCCATCTTTAGTGGTAGAATTATTTTTTTATCATATTTTATTCTTTATCAAAATTGAGAATTTGAATTCCTTTATCTTTTAAGAAATATTTTAACCATTCAAAAATTTTATATTAATTCTCTGTTCATGTATAAATTTTATAAATTTTTCATAGAACTTGTGTCTGATTTTTTTCTCTGAATTCATTATGGTACCATCTTCTTATTTTTTTGTTTTCTTCATAATAAAAGTCATATTTTATAGCCCTTCTATCCATTTCAAATGCTTCTTTTCTACTTAATATATTTAGGTCAAATACCATATCTGAAAACGTAGGACTAGTAGGATTTTTAAGTTATTCTTGGTACCTAGAGGATCCAGATGTTTCTACCCTATAATAGGGTCTCTGGACTTGCTCTTGGGTAGTCTTAATTCCTTCCAAAATTATCCTTTCATGATCTTTTTCATGCTCACTTTGAAGAATAGATGAGCATGAAACCCTAAAAGGAATTTTTATCTGGTTATCCACTATATTTATTCTAGCTTTTCTTAATGGGGTGAACTAGATCTCAACTTTTCCATTTTCATATTCAATTATTTGTTCAACCTCCTTATTTTCAATAGGTCTTGGTTGAACCTCATTTTGAAGGTTCCATCTATCAGGCAATCTGATCTCATTCCAGGAAATTGTCCTTGGGGTAATTAAATTGGATTTTCCTACATTAATTTGGAAAAATATTGTTTGCCTCTGCTCTTTTAACATCTAGACATAGTGTAGTCATAGCCTTATAGAATATTCTATAGAGTATGGCTAGATTTTAGGACCCCATATTCCTATCAAATCCCTGAGTTTTTAGGTTTAAGATTAAAACCTTGAGTATATTTTTGTCTATTAAAGAGACTAAAAATTTGAAAAACAGTTAAAATAAATAGGTCCTTCACTCAAGCTAGATTCTACAATTCCTAATAAGGAATCAGTGAATTTTCTATGTTTACAATCTCTTCAACATAAAAGTACAGAATTGTTAAACCTTGTTCTGATTAAAGGTTTTATTGCCACTTAAATGAAGCTGATATGCAAATAATTATATTTCTTTTCCTAATGTTCTTCGATCAAATATTTTGATAATAACTAGAATCTATTTTAATATTCATTAACTGAAATAGTTTTTTCAATAGTTTTGATAATATAATCACTCCTAAATTCGAATGATCGTTTTATATAAACATCCCAAGTAGGAACTTTAAGAATATTCCAATTTTTGAGTTGCTTTTCTATATTATTTATTACTATTTTTCACTAGTATTTATCCTAACCCTACCACTGTTATTGCAAGATGCACTATTTCCAAGACTCAAGAACTTTTTTTTTTTTTTAAATTCATACAGTAAGCGCGAATGGCCCAGATTGAATTTGGGCATTCTATGGCCGATCTGAAGGTCACAACATCATTTCCTGTTTGAATTTTTCATTTTTTTTTTTCTACAAATTCAAATCACTTGAAATTTTAGGCATGTGTTCTTCTCATCAAGACGCACCTAATAAAAATATAAAAATAATAATTTACAAAACAAAATAATCAAAACATCTTTGAAAATATTTTGGGGTATTTTGGTCAATTTATTTCATGTAAACAAAAAAAATTGATATTTTTCTTAGATTCGTCTATTTTTTAAGAACACACGTCTAAAATTTCAAGTTATTTGGATTTGTTAAAAAAAAATTAAAATTCAAACACTACCAGACATCCGTGATCGTCTGATCGGCCCAGATTCAATCTGGACTGTGGGCTTTACTGTAGCAATACGCACCTGAGCACACAAGATCTTTTTCACATATATATATGGGCAGTGATTTCATGCAACGGTTGTATCATAATACAATGCAACGACACTTCTAGAAAACCGTGTTTGTGGTATTTGTTTGACCCAAAATTTTACACACACATTCTCTTCATCTCAATAATCAATCCCAAAAAAAAAAAAATTCAATTTGAACTATAGATATAGTCAAAATGAGTCCCCTGCAAAACGAATCTAGACTATGGGCAGTGATTTAATGCAACGATTGTATCATAGTATAATGCAACGACACTTCTAGAAAGCCATGTTGGTGGTATTTGTTTGACCCAAAATTTTGCACACACTCTTTTCATCTAAATAATCAAAATCCCAAAAAAACGATCAATTTGAATGCTAGATATGGTCAAAATGAGTCCCCCGAATGTAGACCATTCATTTGGTGAATTTCAAGATCTTAGCCTTTATAAACTCAAAATCATTTATTTATTTTTTTTAACATTATAAATCCATCTAAAAATATTAGAAATAAAAAAATCCTTCTAAACCCTAGATCTAAGCATCTCGCCAAAATGAATGGCCTTTATTAATTGGGCTAAAAAGTACTTTCTAGATTGTGCTTTCAAATTTTTCTTTTTTGTGATTTTTCGTTAGAATGAATCGAATGTATATTTCAAATTTTGAATCAAACATATAGAATAGTCACTGTAAACCAATCATGCCTCTCTTCTCCTTTTCTTTTTCTCTCTCTGCACCGTTATCTATGGAGAGGAAGGGGAGAAGCTACTTCTCAAGAAAGAAAGAAAAAAGGGAGGAAGAGGAGAAGCCATTACCAGAGACGAACTGCATAAAGGCAAGCATTTGGGGTGCAGTTAATGACTCTCAAGAGCTTTATGGTGAGATGTCAAACTCGGGCTCATATGATGCTCAGAAGCCTTAGTTCTAAGTCCTAAAGACCATATTAAGCTTAGTGAACTATAATGAACCTAGACCCATTAAATTGTCCCAAGATCACCCAAAACCTATCTTAATACCCCAAGATAGTTATCACAGACACCTCTGGTCCTAATAAATGTTGAAAACTAACCTGAACAGTAAAAAAAAAACCTGAAACCAAGACTTTGAAGTCCTGGCCTTATATATCCTTAAAAAATAAATCAAATTTGAATAAATTTGGTCCCAAATCACATAGGAGGTCACAAGTTTTCCAAAGGTCGAATAATCACCTAAATCTGACTTACCGTTAGAATTTTCAAATTATTCAAAAAAGTAATAGTTTAGTCCTAAGTAAGACGAGGTGACTCGCGTGAGTTCCTGCAAAACTTTGTCCAGAAAATCTCTTATTTTTTATAACTTTCTGGAAGCTTCTGGGTACTCTAGGTTAGTTCTTGGACACATAAAACTCTGGGAATTTGGAGAAATTCCTCACATGATCCCTAGTTCCCAAGCCTATATAATCCCTTGATCGCCCTTAGAAAATATAACCAAATTCCTGAAAAAACCCTAAAAAATTCTATTAGGCTATAAAGCCCTAGATTAACGAAAATCCCTAAAAACAAATCCTAGGCTAGAGACCCTAACTTCAGATTCTTTCAAAATTTCTCTACAAAATGTCCAAAAATCTAAACCCTAAGAACAAGATCTCCTAATTCCAAAATCTTTGAGGCCATTATTCAAGAAAGCAAGAGAAGACACCAAAGATGTAGATCACCCCATGATCTTGATGCGGACTCTAACTCTAGGTTTCTCAATAATGTGATCTTTCCTTTTTCGTGTACTCATTTTATTTGTTTCTTTATTTTATGTACATCTCTTGATTGCTTAGTCTATATTAGAATTCATAGCTTTTTAAAGATTTAGTAGGTGTGAGATTTACAGTTGGTGTTGTCAGTAGATTAAAAACAAAAAGGTCAAATATGTCAGATCTGTGCAAATTTCAGATCCATAATTTGAATGACCCCACATTTTTTATTGAGTTATTAAACTCAACTTGTTTGGCATGAATTTGAGTTGACCTCCCTCAACAATCGTCATTGATTCAAGCATAAACAGTTAAGCGACCACCATGAGGATCACGAGCTATGAATCCATACCTCTAGATCGTTAAAAAGCTTCTAGCTATTTTCCAATATTATTTTTCAGTCAAAACAAAAGGCACGGGGCCAAGAATGGTGACTTAGTTTCGACCGATGATACCTGAATGGAGTCAACATAATGTTACAACTTGGAGGGATGCTCTAGAATCTAGAAGTTCTAAAATTAGTAAGACTAAGACATAGTATATGTAATACAAATTTAGTAATAATAGGAGTAAATACGAAGAAGCAATTAAGATTGATGGCCAAGAACTACAAAAAAAAACATTTTTAGATTTCTTGGGTTAATAATCCAGGAAAATTGAGAGATTAATGAAAATGACACGTAAAATTAGAATTGGGTAGGCGACGTGGAGATGTTCAACCAGAATTTTATGTGATCATTGCATACTAATGACGCTGAAGGGTAAGTTCTTTATAGGGTAGAATGTTAGGCGATCAAAACACAATATACGCATCAAATGAGTATAATAGATATGTGATCATTGCATACTAATGACGTTGAAGGGTAAGTTCTTTATAGGGTAGAATGTTAGGCGATCAAAACACAATATACTCATAAAATGAGTATAATAGATATGAGAATGTTGAGATGTACAAGAAAGGATAAAATTCAAAATGAATACATTTGAAAAGTTTTAAGTGTGGCACCAATAAGTGATAAGATGAACAAAGATAGATTTAGGTGGGTTAGCCATGTGGCACATATAGTACAACACTTGTTAGAATATACGAATTAGTTAAAGTGGAAGGCTCAAAAAAAGCTAAGTACAATCTCCAAAAGACGTGATTAGAAGTAATGAAAAACGATATTAAGACTTATGATCACACTGAAAGTATGACTCTTAATAGAGTAAAATGGCAAGCCAAAATTTGTTTAGACGACCCCAATTGGTTGGAAAAAAACTTTGACAATATTGATAATTCTCAAGATGTTCCTAATAGTTTAGAGCCACGTAATTTGTACTATTTTTTTAGTTTAAAATTTTATAGTTATATGTAAAATAGATTTTAAGTCGTCAATGCAATTTTTAACACCAAAATGACATATTTCCATGAACCTTGGGGATGCACCTTACTTGGATTGTTTACGGTTGACACGTTATACAAACCACACTCTAATTAAACCCAAAAAAAATTCAATTGGTACCTCCCAAAAGAATAAAGAAAAAATGTAAGAAGATAAACTCCAACATGACATTAAAAAGAAAGGCCTGATTTTCTTTTAACAGAAAAAGAAGAATTCATTGTCAAGACGAATTTATAGGTACCAAAAGAACCCAAGCTTAATTGATTAATGATTGATGATTTGCAACATTGCATCCTAGTCTCAATTCCTACCAAGGGTAAAAGCCCTCTCCCAACCGACTCACCCAAAAAAAGACAAATTTATAGGTTAATTCAAGATATTATAAGGGCCAAACAAGATTCAGCACAATAATAAGATTTTGCAAAAAGAAAATAGAAAAAAAAGGGAAAAAAAATTAAAGTTAAAAAAAAAACTAAAAATTCAAAAAAAATTTCAAAAAAATTTCAAAAAATTTCAAAGAACTTTCAAAAAAAAATTTCCAAAAATTTCAGAAAAACAAATTCAAAAAAATTCAAAAAAAATAAGGTTAAAAAAAAAATTAAAGTTTAAAAACAAAATCCGGCCGGAGGACCAGATTTTGATAAAAAACAGATGAAATTGACCTCCAAAGGATGGGAAAATTTCAAAGACGAAAGCCAAATTTGGAAATTTAAAAGCATAAATTTAGATTGAGTACTGAGTAATATTATTTGTTTCAAAGATTAAACTGCTTATGTTGAAGGTGGACACGAACACTTATGATACAGCAGCTAACAATTGGAAGTCTAAACTCCCCCCTCCTTCACACTAAATTGCAACTTTAGAGAACTTAACCCCAAGCCCTAGAGACTTGGGCCTCTGTATTGCTGCAAGGGGCTCGGTGATCCCCTGACCATCCTTGCCAAGGCCACCCCCTTCCACAAATCCCATCTTAGCCATCATTCTCGAACCAAACCCTGTAGTATGCATCTCGAAAGTACCCATTTTCGATGAACCCGTGGATTCTTTCTTTTCAGTAGTTGTTTTTGTCTTGTTAAGATTCCGAACCTTTTCCCCTGTGAAATCTACCTGCATTATGCCACTCGAAACAAAAGCCACAGGCAGACTGGCTTTTTGGATGCTTTGCTTTCCCCTTCCTTGCTTCTTGCTTCTCATTTCACCACTATCATAAAGGTGGGTTAGGCCTTTCATGGCTCTGTACAAATCGGAATGATCTTGTGTGGACCTCGCATGAGATCTTAAACCAGCTTTTCTTTTCCTTCCCCCTTTATCCTTCTTGGTATTTTGCTCAACCGTGAAATTAGTGGATTCATATCCTACGTGCAGTATCTGCAAAAAGAAAACAAAAGAAACAAATAACAAATTAGAGTTACAGCATGAAGTGTCAATTTGGTTGGGAACCCATGTATCTCTAATGAATTTAATTTAATTATTTTCAATGTATTCTTAGATTTTGGGGCCTCAATCCTTTGGGCAGAGGTCCAATGCATGAAAGATTATCTGGTATATTAAGAAATAAAAAAGGGTTCCTAGACCTAATAGAGTTGTAGCAGGACCTTCCACTTTAACTGCGGGCCCATGTATTTTGGTAAAAGTCTCCCTAATTTTCCATTTTTCCTCAAATTTGTGGCATTCCTTGAGCCCCAGGGCAGAATTCATATTTATGAAAGATCATATGTTTCCCTTGAAACTTGAATGGTAAGATTTATGCATTTGGGAAATTTATTTCGCATGTGCCTCATAAAGTACCAAGTGGCATTCACAATTCAGCATTAAATGCAAATTGCTGAAATGAAAAAGCATCATCATCCAAGCCTCATCCCAAACATTTGGGGTCGGCTGAAAATGTAAAATGCAACACAAAAAAGATAGCTATTACATTAGGCTGAAGAAAATATCTATCACCAGCAAATTATGATCTCAACATGCAAAAAACAAACTCTAATGAAAAAAACGCAAGGGCCATTCCTTTTACTTTTTAACCTCTCCAGATTTCCATTTTCCATTTTTCAGCATGTCAGAAACACAAAGAATGGCATTCAGATTCCTTTTGCTAACAGCTTCGCATTTCCTTCTTCTAAGTAGAACATATAAAATTCAGTTATAGGAGCCCTTTTGTGGGACTTGCTTTCCCCATAAAACCATCATGTTACTGCCTCGGATATATAGTGAGGTAGAAAGATCGCTCTAAAATACCAGGAACCCCATAGGACTCTCCTATACCCGGTGAACCTGCATTTCTCCCATACAACCATGACTAGCACCTCACACTACAATTTGGGAGACTTATCTATTTTGGGTTTCATAACTTGTTATTTCATCAGGTTGATAATATACTGATCAAACTGAGTTTATGATCCTTCTGAGGCTCAAGTGTTTTTAGATGATTGAATGCTTAATGAAGTCCCGACAAGGTTTAATGAAGTCATCAAGAGAGACTTACCACATGTCTACTACTCTCACTAACACCCGAACAACCAATAGTCCCTCAATGCCACAGGCTAGTAACTGCATCAATCATCTCCCTGCCACCTGCCTCTCACTTTTCACTCCCTGCATGCTACCAAATCAATGAAACATGCCGCCTTTTTTCTCAAAACCATCCATTTACTGAACCAATTAAATTGAACAGAGTCAGTGATAACATTGTTCAACTACTGTATTGGTCCCTAAGCGCAACCATTGGCAACTCGTACAAAGGACAACCACCCTTAATTTCTCTTCTAAAACAGGGAAAGTTAATCCACCTTATACATTTTCTTGCCATGCCCTTCCATAAATATCCCACCACTACTCTAGACTGGGTTTCTCTACAAAGTGATCCACCCTAATCCTCATTAACTGCCACCATGTGGATCCACCAACATAACCCTGATCATCTATCCTTTCGGGTCTATTGCAAGGCTCATCCAAAACCATACCACTCCACTAACACTTTGATGCAGGCCAATATTATTCTCATTTTTATTCAATTTTGAATGATGTATAATTTAATTTAAGTTTTTGGGTTTATTTTTTAGGTTTTTAGGGATTTTAGGATATTTTTTTATATTTTATATACAATTCACGGGCTATTAATCACGGGTATTGTTCATGAGTACTATTCACATGTACTATTTATGGGTTACTAGTCATAGGGGTAAATTTGTTATGAATTGAGTTTAAGTTAGGACTTTTTGTGTCATTTTTAATTCTTGTATGGATATTTAACATCTTTAAACATTAAATTATAATATATATGAGGTGCATGGGGCCTTGAGATGGTCATCCACATGATTTTCAGAAATTAAAAGAGAAAGAAAAGCTTCAGCTTTTGGAACCCTAGCTTGAGGTGAGGATTTCTCCAACTTATTGCTTGTGTTTGGCATCAAAATCTTGTTCTTTCCGTTATTCTGCAAATTTCTCCTACATCAATTAGTATTGAATCTAGGGTTTACTTCAGCTTCAGCAACAAAGTCAGGAAGTTACAATCGTGTTAGGCTTTGCTGATTTTGGCCCAAGTTTTACCAAATCATCCTAGATCTTGTTGTTTTTAGTGAGTTTATGTTTTATTATATGCCAAGGGTTTGTGATTTCCGTGAACCTTTGGCAATAGGAGAGCCTGTTGGGGGTGGGAAGGGGGATTCATAGACCCACTTTGCAATCCTATATATGAAGAAATTAAGGAACTTGAAAGGTAAGTTCAACGGCCTAAGCTTTTATTTTTAATTCTGAAAATCATGTGGAATGACCCTCGCAAGGCCCCACACACCTCTTATGTATTATAATTCAATGCTTAAAGACATTAAATGTCCATACAATAATTAAAATGACCGAAAAAATTCTTAAGTTACACACAAAATTTGTAATGACAATTTTACCTCTGTGAACAGTAACTCGTGGGCATAATTTAAAAAAAAAAAAAAGTAACTCGGGAGCAGTACCCATGAATACTAACTAGTGAATCGTAAATTGGAATATAAAAAAAAAATCCTCAAACTAAAAACTAAAAAATCCTAAAAATAAATCCTAAAACTAAATATATCATTTGAAATTGAATAAAAATTTAAAATGAGAATAATATTGGCATGCATTACCAATCTTAGAAAACATGATATTTACCACTTTTGATGAAATTTGTAGGTCCTACTATTAGGTACACCAAGAGGAGAGTAGAATCTTCCTCAATGTTCAAAAAAGCGGATTCGGACACCTAGGCAATTTGGGTGCCTGGCCGCCTAGGCGATCGAGCGGGCGCCCAGGTACAGGGCGCCCTCACCAAAACCAAACCCATTAAGGCACTAACTATTACGTTACAATAAGACTTAAATGAATAATTGACTATTACTTTACAATAAGACACTAACTATTACTTTACAATAAGACTTAAATGAATAACTGAATATATAAGACATTCTAAAACATTAGTTTCACTTTCACATAAGACTTAACCCATTAAGATATCACATAATCAATTATTCATCAAATAAGCCAAAATATAAAATAAAAATAGAATATCAAAATAAAACACATTGTACAAAAAAAGAATCAATTATTCATAAAGACGATATATGCTCAATTTCAATTCCCAAGTGAGAAAAAAATCAATAAATTACCAAAAAAATCAATCTTTTAATTACAAACATGAAAACATATCGTAAAAAAAAAAAAAGTAAAAGAAAAAGCATATGATACATAACATAATATGTTGTAGCAAAATAAAATCAAAACCTTATTTCAAATATGATAATACTTTAAAAATATCAAAATCAAATCGATGTCGGTGCAAACCTTGTCTATTGGGTCACCAAAAGTTTTCAAAACCAACTATTAGAAGCTCCAAATCCACCCACGAACTATTGCCTTTGTTTTGGGAAGAAATCAAAACAATAAAAAATTTATCGATCTTTCGAAGAATCACAAAAAAATGGTTTTTGAGAGGTTCTTCTCACCCTAAAGGCCACGGATTTTCTATTTGGGGGAAAAAATTACATATTTTACCCCCACCCGAGGTTTTTTTCCACTGCCCGCAAGTTGTCACAGGGCAAAAATGCATATTGCCCACGCCCAGACTGCGCCTAGGTGTTTTTTAAATTTTTTCGCCTAGTCGGTTGGGCGGCCGAATTTTCGAACATTGCTCTTCCTTAACCACATTAGTGGAAAAATTTCCCAATAAGACAAGGAACTCATTCTGAAGAGAATCAGAACAAGTTGGGAATGAATTCTCTCCCAACATGGAACCAAATTCTGGAAGCACGGTTGCCAGCCAGATTAGATGGAAGACAATTACTTATTACATTTAGTGATTGAGTAGGAGAATCATACTTAATTTTGCAAAATTGGAACAACTACATAAGGATATGTTCAAAGATTTCCCTGATTTCCCTGTGATGCATATCAATTATGAAATCCTCTAAAAATTCCAGAAAAGAAAATGCTAATCTAGGATACAATTAGTGCAATGCATTCTAGGTTATTTGCTTAGTAGGGTGGATTGCTGTCAGTGTGAGACTCCGCATCTTTTAATAAATGGGTCTTCTAAAGGTTTCTTTAGTGACAAGTATGAATGAGAAAGAGAATTCCCACTTCCTTTTCTATTTACAATTGCGCTAGAGGCATTTACTTCTGTGAAGGGAGGATTGCTCATTGAGTTTACAGTGGTTATCTTCAGTTCTCACGGCACTTATTTCAGGCAAGGCTAAGAAAGGAGCCTTCTTGGATTGCTAATTGTGTAAGCCCTTCGTGGATTCAAAGGAGGCTCCTCTGTTTCAAGTGCTATGGCTAATTCTTTTTCCACTACAGGGCAGATAAAGAAGATAATTCTTAAAGACCAAATCAACAGGGAGACCATCTCAATAATGGGGTTTCTCAATTTACAAACATCTACAATGTAATGAAGGCCACAGGAGATTGTCCAGGACGTACTTCTCCTTAGCTGCTTTTGTTAGGGAGCATGGTCAGACTTTCTAACATTCTTTGGCACACTGATTGGGTAATACCAGAATGTCTAGTAAGGCTCGTCACTTTTCAGACTTCTGATCCCCTAAGCCAGTTCTTTCCCTTGGAGTATAGGGAGAAAACAATAGCCCATCCAGAGAAACCCAAAGGGAAAACACGAGTGGTTAGATAGTACTAAACATGATATATCTGGGGATCTGATTAGGCAGCTGGTAGGGAGTGTGGAAGGAAGATCTAGCCCAGGAATTACGAACTCTTGCTTGCAAAGAGGCGGCCCTAAATAAATTGGTGGAACTGAACACAGGGAAGTAGATTAATCAATGACAATATCAATGGAGCTAAAAGCCTTTGTTGCATTCATTGGTAAACATGTTCCACCAAGGTCAAAACCAGAGCTCTTTTTTATGGCATCAAGCTCTTTATTATGGATTCAGGAGCATAGAACATACTGCTCTTGCTTCTTAATTCGGAACGTGGATTAGCTCAATGTGAGCCTAAGGGCTCCAGAAGCCTCACCCAGCACATGGAACATATGGATATATCCAACAGATCAATGACATTATTAATACCCAAGAAATCTCCTTTCAGAATGTTCACTGGGAATCTAACAAAATCTCTGATTAGTTGGTGCATGGGTCTTAAGTTTCAAGTTGAGAAGGTAGGAATAGATCTCATCCCTTGAATATATATTTGGGTTCAATTTTCATGCAACTTTCATGTGCTGCTCCTCTCCCCTCAGAAATAGTGATCAGAATCGGAACCCAGAGTCCCAGTGATGTACCCAAATTAACGATATCTATGATAGATTAATGTCACTTTCACGATGATCATCCGAGCCTAATCCCAACAACTAGTGTCACTTTCTGAACCCATATATTCTCTAATTGTGTCCATCTCAAACAAGCATGGTCGCCAGGTCAATCATATGAAACACCGCACCGAGATACGTGAAAAGATTTCTCATATTAATAGAAGTGCCTCATTGCCCGAGACGGGCTAAGGCAAGCACAAAAAAAGTGAAACTCTGCAAAGCCATAGTACAATATACAAGATGGTGATAAGAAAAAGCTAATTAAATTATAAGATCTATAGAAAGACAGTATCAATGCAATGAGGATAATGGAGGCAATGACAACATGCTAGAAAGTCACAGACATGCAGAAAGATATGATGGCTAAGGACATACCTTCTCCAGTCGAAGTTGATCAGTAGCAGATGGCATACATGTCCGAGCCGTACGTGACACAACTACAAACCTGAAAGACAATAAATGCAGCCCAACAGCTGGAATCAGTGCATCGATCATAGGAATCCTCAAAAAACACATGCGACCTATGCACAAAGCAGACACTCTCAAAAATGTCATGCATGCACACAATTACGTGTGCAAGCACACACACAATATGTTTTCTCTAAACAAGATTCGCCATAGTATAGATCATCCGCACTCTAGGCATGCACATAGAGGTGCGTGAAAACTGAAGACTCCTGATTTTCCCATTCTGTACCCAGGTGCCCTGAAATTCCCTGCTATATTATGTCACAGTCCTATAATTTTTGCTGATTGGTAGCCTCCGGTCCCTCCCTCCATCCACACACAAGGAGATTTTAGACGTTTTGCGATATCGAACCCCACCCTCCTCCCCCCTCCTCTCCACCCAACAAAAAAAAACGGCAAAAATGACCCTTCCTCACTCTCTTCCCATCATGGTAACTGGTTTCCAGAGAACCACCGACTCTGAATATGTGGAAGGACAAAGTCCCACCTGCAAGCTGCTCCCCCTCCCTCCCCTCTGTACTCTTATCCCTGCTCCCTCACTTTCTTGTGGGTTATCTCTACAGATCAAGGTTACTGGTTTCTAGAGAAATGTGTGCACGGACAAAAGCCCATATTTGCATGGATATATGGATGGGGACATAAACAAGAGCATAAACATCAGGAAATGTGGACAGTAGCAAATCTGGATAAGAATTGTCTATGAATAGCAATTCAGGAGAGCAATAGAGCCAAAACAAAAGAACAATTGGCTTTCAAGCTTATCATGCCCAAGGTACAGTATAACCATAATCTCACCATTAACTCCAACACAAAACCACCATAGTAACCAGTGACTATTTCATGCAAAGTTTCAAATATTGGTTCAGTACCATTAAAAAACACTTTTGACATAATCATTCAAGGGGAACTAAGTTTGGAATTAAGTTTTACTCCCTTTATTCATGTGTCTTAGATCATAATCTCTGCTTTAGCCATTCAAGCAGAGAGTGAGAGGGGACTGGTATTTGGCAGGTTTTCTGCAGGTGGACTGTAGAAATCTACAGTTTCTTTTATACTTAGGAACCTTTTAAAAAGATGAAGATTGGAAGTAAGAGAGAGTGAAGCATAAAATGGGGAGAGAGAGTGGGGGGGCAAAGGGTAAGGGCTGTAGTTCCTATGGTCTAATGCCTAGGGACACACCCCCCTCGCAATGATATTCCATGGGGTTTGCCCCCAATCAATGTATTAAAATGCGGGATGCGGCCAGATGTGTTGGGGGGGGGCGCGATGCGGCTCGATACAGTCCAAGTGCGGATGCATCGCCGCGATGCTGTCAATAAATATAAAAAATTATAGAAATTCTAAAAAATTAGGTTACTGCAGGGAAAAAATACAGAGGTGATTTATGTGATAACAGATATTTAGTTTATTCATGAACTCCAAAAGTATCAGTTGTCACCTGTCAGAGATTGTGTATCAACTATCCCTTGATAGAAACTAGAAACTTGAAACTAGCTTCATAAAACATTCAACAACCATAAGCACAAATTTGTAACCAAAAACTTTAAAGTTATAAAATACAAACTAAAAGTCTATCGAGATTTAAGAGTTCAAAATTCAAGCTCAAAACAAATCATCATCATTTCTCAACTCTCAAGTCTGGAGATTTTAAATTTCAAATCCTAATAGGAGAACTTATCTTGAGAGTCTCCATGTGCATAAGCATTCTAAACTTCGTCTAAACTTCCTCAAATCAATACCCAAAAGAACTAAATCAACAACCAATCATCAAGCAATACGAAATCTAATAACTTCACGCAAAAAAATTTCCGGCACCTTTTTTTTATTGATTTGATTCAAAAAAAGCCACGGATGTGGCTGTTTGTAGTTCTTTAGGGGGAATAATAACCCCAAAACGCTTTCCCTCCTTTTTCGGGGCTCAAAATGTCGAAAATACCCCTGCCCGAGGGATCTTTTTTCACGGAAATGACTGTCCCCATATGCGGATTATACGGGATGCAGCGCATATGCGGGCGCACCTCTCCAAAGCGCATATGCAGCCTATAGTGATGCGCCGCCCAGCACATAATGCTTTATACGACCGCATATGCGACGATGCGGCTGCGTTTTAAAACCATGCCCCCAATGCATGCAATGTATGGGGGTTCTTGTCGGCACTGTCGCTAGAATAAAGAAAATAAAAATTGAAGTCTTGCCCCGCCCTCCCCCAATCTATGATTCATTACCCCCTTATTCAAAATAATAGTTATTACAGTTTACTCTAAAATAAGAAAGGGGCAGGGTTGTGTTAAGTAGGCAGCCAAGGTAAAACATTTTCAAATCTTATCATTAATCCTAAACCTACAGTATCTACTTATGCTAGGGGCTCACTGAGGGTATGGCCCTAATAAAGCAGAATAGCAGACCAAGAATCATGTAGCCAACCCCGATTAATTGGGAAAAGGCTATGATGATGATGATGACTCTAGAATAAGAAAAAGGGTGTACTACCAGCCACGTATTAGGCTTAGGTCAAGGGGTGAGAACAGGTCGGATAGGGGATAGATGCACCCAGATTCAGATTCAGATCCGAATAGTACACATTCAGATTCAGATCCGAATAGTACACATCAGATTGAATCCTAAATATTTGGATCCGGATCTGAATTTGAATTTATACATAGGATCTGGATCCGGATTACTCTGTTGTACTGTTGCGTAGATAGAGGAGCGGAAGGTGGGTTTTGTGCAGAGAGAAATTGGAGATGGGCTTTGTGCAGAGAGAAATTGGAGATGGGCTTTGTGCAGAGAGAAATTGGAGATGGGCTTTGTGCAAAGAGAGAGAATGAAGGGTTTGAATCTGATGGGAAAGATGGGTTGGGTGTAGAGGGAGAAACTGAAGGCGGGCCCTGTGAGATGGTAGAAATTGAAGGTGGGTTCCATGTAGAGAGAGAAACTAGAGATGGGTTTTGTGTAGAGAGAGAAAGTGGTGAAGGAGATGATGATGATTCTGGTATTTCAGTGAGAGACGAGGGTTTTTCAGTCAGACACATCTTAATGGAGGGAGTTGTTTGTGCTGATAAAGTATTCAAACCACTCCTTCCATAGTATTTGTTGCCCCTTGTGATACAGGGAAAATGGTTTGCTCATTGACGCGTGCGTACATAGATTGGATTTTCAATTGATGAGAAAGAAAGACTTTGGTATGCATTACGGAGAGTTTCATACTCATTACATCAAGAGAGAGAGGGATGTGGGGTAGGAGTATGAGAGAGAGAGAGAGAAAGAGAGATGTGGGGCAGGAGTAAGGTACAAATAGCGAGAGAGAGAGAGAAGCGGTGTACGGAAGGAGGAAGAGAGGCACGGGATTTGGGTTCACAATCTCTCTCTCTCTACATTCATTCTTAGTTCTAAATATTGTTGTGGCTTAAAAATCAGGTGCCTGGAAGAAGGGGCAGAAGAATTTTTCCTGAAACCAGTTCAGCTCGCAGGTATGAACAAGTTTAAACCCCATCTCACGAAATCAGCCAATCCATCGATCCCACCACTCTCTCTCCTCAAAAATCAAGCAGTAACCCCAACAAAAGAAGCCACTGAGTCCGCCACTCTCTCTTCTCAGAGGAGAAGACCAAGATACAATGGCCTCACTGTCTCTGTGTGACAATACTTTTTCTCTCTACTTTTGGCATAAACTTACTGCTTTTATTAAGTTTAACCTTTCCTTCAAAAAAACAGAACTTAAAGCTTTTATTTTTAAAGAGGAGCAGAGGAGAAGAAAACCGAGGTGTAAAAGGGAAGGACTTGAAGACAGAGAGTTAAGACTCTCGGCAAGAAGGAAGAAAGTGGTTTCCATCTCTCTATCTAAAGAGAGAGTTTGAGTTAAAGAAAGCCTTCTCTCTAGAAAGAAAAATCTCAAGACAGTTGAGGAACAAAGCCTAACAGAGTTGAGAAAGCAACATGATCTCTCTCTCTCTCTCTCTCTCTCTCTCTAGAGGGACAAAGTCTAATAGAATTGTGGAAGCAGCATGCTTTCTCTCTAACACGTTCTCTCTCTCTCTCTCTCTCTCTCTAGAGGGACAGCCTAGTAGAGTTGAGGCTCTCTAGAGTCTAGATGTCCATTTTCACTTTAGAAAGACAGAGCTCTCTCTCTCTCTAGATGACAATCCTCTCTCTAAAGGCAAAGCTTGGGAGACTATCCCCCTCTCTCTAGAAAGGCATGGCATAGGAGACCAGATTCTCTCTCTAGGAATTTGTAGAACCACTTTTTTTCCTCTGCAAAATACCTACATAGGTTATTATACTAATTAAAAAACCGGGTTGGATCCGGTCCGGATCTAGGTTGGATCCCAATCTGGATCCAGGTCGGATCCCAATCGGATCCACTTGTACCCAGATCCGATCCAGATTATTATTTGGATCTGATTTTTGGATCCGGATCCAAATTTCAGATCCAATTCTTGGATCAATACCCGGATCCGAAATTCGGGTTTCGGATCCGGTAACTTCTCAGCCCTACTTAGGTCTTTATGAAACCCAAACAAAGATTTCTTCATTATTTCAGAAAAAATAAATGAAAGAAAGCTCAAATAAGAGTTTCATCCATAAAACTGCAACTTCATAACAAAAAAAATTATTTATCCATGACTACGACTTTAGACCTTTAAGATGTACATATTCCAAATATTTTGCATTAGTCCACTGTAAAAAAAACTTAGTAAGAAGTCCTATTTTATTTGGATGTGCTACAATTCCAAAAATGATTTTAAATATCACACGGTCATCATTATCATGTCACTCCATTTGCATTGGCAAAATAATAATGAGCTAAATTTTATCAAACAATGTGCACACTAAATTTTATTATATATTGCAAAATTTAAGAAAAATGTGCATGTATCAGGTTTTAGTGGGTTTGACCTCATTTCTATGAACGTGAAAAGCTAAAATTTGCCAGGATTTTTACATTTTTCAGATCAAAGATAGATACTGTGACGCAATTTTAGATTCAACTTTGCAACCACTTAGCTGTTCATTGTTAATAGCATACGATTGAGGCATGTTGCTCCTCCATTTGAAGTCTGACAAACATTTTTGGACTTTTAAATGAGAAGGAACAAACCTCAGCCGTCATTTGTTAACTTCAGAAAGCTGGGAAGTGCTTGCGAGTTGTTTGAAGGTAAAATGCTATCATGAACATATCCCTAATTTACAGACCAGTAATTTTTAAAGAATCATGCGCTAGCGATTTAGGTACAAAAGAATTCACCAAATTATATCATTTTGCATTGAATATCAAGGAAGAAAAGTATGTAAAATTTTTCATGCACACTAATTTCTCCATAAATATGATCCAACATTGGAAAATGTCAGAGTGGGACATTAGGAATAAGGAACACTAATACTACAGTTCGCCTAGGTTTGTTTTTAAGTCTTTGGAGGGAGAAAATTTGTGAATTTCATTCATGATTTTTTTCCCCAAAGCTTTCATCGATGTGGCCTGGATTTTCTTCTGAGTTTGTTGATTTCTTCAGGATTGTACTTTGTGATTTTGGGTTGTCAAATTGTTCTCAAAAGATGAAGATAATTACAATGGATACACGTAAACAAGGAAATGTTTTGTGTCCATGCAACATTTGATGAGGATCTTGAAGTTTCCAGAAAGCAATGTCCAAAGGGAAATGCAAGTAAATCTACTTCCATGTCAGAAGAACTTCAGAAACAAAACACAATCCCAGAAGTTAATGCTAAATATGAGCCAAAATATACATAAAGAAATAAATCCCCACGGGTCTCTGCAAGTTAGTTTTAGAAGTAACTGAGAAGGTACCAATCAATTTTCTTGGAATGCCCATGCCACCTTGCATTAAATACAAGAAAACTGTAAACACGAATTTTGTTGTTACTTAGCAAGTTCTCTTAGTAACAGATCATTCCAAATAACCTATTCCACAAATATGAAACTGTCAAGCTTTAATTGTCTACATTAACACAGGAAAACTATCATAGCAGAATATATATGAAAACTACTTGGTAAAGCTAAAAGCTTGAAAAGAAATAGTATTTTCCCTCAAACACAACAAAGTGTCGAACCTTTTTTTCCCGGAACCTTGACAACCACTTCTTAAATGGTAAATTGAAGCAAGTTTTCGTACCTAAAAATAGGTCAAGGACAATCAACTTAAAATCTTTAGATGCAAGTTAATAATTACATAAGTCAATTCAAGGCAAGCAAAAAGCAGATCAACTTTTGTGAAAGCAAAACAAATAAGTTGGGAATAATCAAAAGAAAGACAATGACACTAAGATAACATGGAAAGCAAACGCTATAGAATCTCCTGAAACACAGATTCGCATTAACATTATAATAAGAACCCAAAAAAATGTTGTAAATATCAGTATTCTAAAACTAACAGAGCTCGGCTACGTCAACAGGAACGGGTAGCCTACCAGTTCCGCAGAGCCTCCACAAAGCTATTCAGTACATAGTTGTTGGGATCGGGAGCGGGAAGGGTACAAGGATCGCGATCGAGAGCGAGGGATCGTGAAATGCCAGAAGATACCCATGGTTGGGAACTTCGTCCGTACAATGCAGATGTTAGGGATCAAGATCCCTAAATATTAGGAATCAAGATTCCAACCTTTTGGGGATCTTGATCCCGACCTTTTGGGATCTTGATCCCAACTTTTTGAGGATCTTGTTACCAACCTTAAAATATATGATAATCCTAGATTATGTATACTCTTCAAAGTAGGGATCATTATCGATAGCAAGCAAGCAATAGTTGTGTTGCTAGTTGGCTGTAAACAACGAAAATCATTAGTTTGGTTGTTGTCTTGGTCTTTAAGGTTGGGATCGAGTTCACTAACAGTGGGAATCGAGATTCCTATGAAAAGAGTTTGAGATCCTAAAATTTAAATATCGAGATCCCTGAGAGATTAGTTCTAGGAGAGACAGAATCGAGATCCTATAAGTGATCACCTACCAAAGTAGGAGATCCTGGTAACTATGACTCACTAATCCGCCCAAGTCCTAACAGTGACGGATGGTTTGGCCCCAAGTTGAGACTGAATCCAACAATATATGCAAAAATATAAGGGGGTAGAGTCCGACACTATTTGCAAAAATTGAAGGGGGTAGGATACCGCCCCCTTTCTTGCTTTCTCTTCACAACTGAAGCTCCAAAACCCTAAAAATTTGCCCCAGACCTATTTTTAAGGAAAGCTCAGGCCTGTTTTTTGTATCGCCTATCCAGTCTAAATCTTGGACTCAACAAAAAAGCATGAAATCTCTCAAATCTGATATTTGGAATATTGAATTAAGGTTTGGCCTAAAATTACAAGATCTTTGGATGAACTATATACAAAGTCCAATAAATATTTAGTCCAGAGATTTTCATTTGAAGCATTTGAGGGTATATCTGCAAAGATTGAAAGCCCACTGTGAATAATTACAATATCTTTGGATGGACTATATACAAAGTACAATAAAAATATAGTCCAGTGGTTTTCATTTGGAGCATTTGAGGATATATCTGCAAAGATTGAAAGCCTGGATTGGCACTAGCCACATCGTTGAATGGATCAGCTTCAAGAATTTGGTTAAGCAAATTTTTTTTTCGATTAATATTCATGTAAACAAATTTATTTGCCCAAATATCACTAGATCTAGTTATACTTTCTTTGATTGAGTATTTTTCATTTTTTTATTTCTAAAAATTCAGGATTCTTTTTTTTTTGCCCTAATTTTACATTTTACATAAAGAAATATGGGAATATATTTTTTCTTTTAAAGTTAATGACGCTAATGAGATATTTTCAATGGTTCTTTATGCCTCTAGCATGCTTAGACTATTTCCAAAGTAAGATTTTATAATGAATAATCCAGGAAATTAATTTTTTTTCATATTTTTTTGTATAAAAGAACATATTTATAATTTAAACATGTGAGAAGTTCTTACTTTTTTTTTTAACTTAATGATGATGATCATGTGTTTTTGGTTTTCGCTTTTATGCCTCTAGTATGCTTACTTTATTTCTAGAGTAGCACATTCACTCAAAAAGAAAAAGTAACTAAATTAACCATTTTTAGTTAAAGCAATTGAATGTGACTGAAATTATTTTTTTAGATGTCTACGTAGATCCTATAGTACTTTTCAATTGGGTAAATCTTGGGAGAAGAGGGGAGATGAGGATCTAGGGTGGTAGTATGGGTGAAGATGGATCCTCATACAATTGATAAAGTAAGATATAGACTCGGTGGGAAAGAGATGTCTGGTTATATTAATCACCTAAAACATCGTCTAGCAAAAGTTCAAGGTAATGTTGTGCCTTGGCTAAGTGTTCCCGTGAATGTCAAGCAACAAATACCACAATCTATCATGGCAGCAAAAAGAAAACAGAAGGTAGTCCAGGAGATGGAGAGAATAATATCAATCTTCTCATCAGGAAGAGGAAGAAGATTCCAACGCCCAAATTAAGAGTGCAATGAGGGCCTGTCAAGAAGATATGTATGGACCATAGTGACCTGGCTCCACCTACCAAGGGGTTGATTCCACTCCAGAAACCCAAACCTATGCTCGAAGGAAGGGGATCTTAAAATTTGGAAATCCCTTACTATTAGGGATCGAAATCCTGGGCGACATGGGATCCAGATCCCTGAGCATAACAATATCATATGGCGATATAATTTAGTATGGTAAATGTGGTACAATATAGATGCCATATTTATTGGAATCTTCAGCTCAGGTTGTGAATCTACTTCAGAATATCCTAATTCGGCAATTTTAACAAGGAATTGTCACAGAAATCGTTCTCGATTCCTTATCATAGGAATCTTGGTTCCAACTTTTTCCAAATCTCAATCACAACATTTATGGAAATCTCAGTTCCAACTTTTCAAATCTCAATTCCAACTTTTATTGAATCTTGATTCCATATTGATTCCCAATTCCACATAAAATGAATCTTGATTTTTTTTTAATCCAGAATCCCCAGCATTAAGTACCTCAATTCGTAGGTGCAGGAGACTGCAATTCAATCAACATGGAATATTGCTTTTTATTGATTCCCGATTCCCCATAAAATGAATCTTGATTTTTTTTTTAATCCAAAATCCACAACATTAAGACCTCAATTCGTAGGTGCAGGACACTGCGATTCAATCAACATGAAATATTCCTTTCATCTTCATAGAATTTCAATCTACTTTTTTTGGAATCCTTCCAAAAAATCGAGTACCGATGTTCATAGGTGCACAAAATGTGATTCGTTGTATGTGCAATCTCACCTCAAATATATGTGGATTCTTATTTCAGTTATTTCGAAACCCCATTGGAGGACATTGTTTCTTATGGTTTATAGGTGCTCCAAATAATAATCCGATGAACGCAATGATAAAGTATTTGTAGCACGAACAACTTTCAAATGCAAATGTCCAAAGTTAAGAAGTACTTGACATGCATTACTCTAATGTCTTTAGCAAGTAACAAAGGAAGGTATTACTAGGGCGTTGGATTATTAATGAGAGTACTAATGGTACTAGGAACGGCTCGGATCATGTTTCTAATAGTGCTAGGACTGGCTCGGATCACATTTCTAATAGTGCTTGGATTGGTTGCATTTGTTTAAATATTATTGGTAAAGAGTTTTACATTCAAATAGAGCTACAACACAGACAACTCCCCCGCACAAACAATGTCCTATTTTGAATTATAATATTGAAATAAAAACCACATTTCAAAAATATAAGAGATAATATTTGTATTTTGTGTAGACAATTTCCCTGTGGAGTACAAGTGCCTATTGATAGACTTTACTTCTGACACCGTGTCTGAGGCTTAATAGTCAATAACTCAATAAATTGACTTCATATTTACAAAACCCTTCTCCAGGTCTTAGAGACCTTTGATCTCGATTGCTTGATTGGGTTCTAAGTTGTTAAGGTACAAGATGTCGGTGATGTAGGAATCTTGATTATAAAAGGGTTTCAACTCCACCCCATAAGAGTTAAAATCTCTATTGCCAAGTGGTTGAAACTTGATTCCAAACTGATATGAATCTTGATTCCAAATACATCAAAAACTCGATACATAAGATGTCGGAATCATGATTCCATATATGAAAGAATCTCATTTCCATATGGTTTGATTCCAAATAGGTTAAAAACTTGATTCCAAAGCGGTAGGAAACTCGATTCCTTGTATGTAGGGATCTCGATTCAATTTGGGTAAAAACTTGATTACTATAAAGTAGGAATCTCGTTTCCTGCAATTCCCCTCGTACAAACATTGATTCCGGAAACATGAATCTTCTAACAAGTTTTAATTCTACGATTCTGATTCCCAAAACAATTTAAAATCTCAGACATTTACATCAACTATGATAGTAGCATGGTATAGCAGTATGGCATAGTCTAGCAATGTGGTATAGTCTTTTGCATATACTATATACTGCAGTATATATTATATGGTTACATATAACAAATCTTGTTTTTCTAGGAAGGTATCTGAAAACCAATTTGGTTTTATGCCAGGAAGGTCAACTACTGAGGCTATTTTCCTATTTAGGCAACTGATTGAGAAGTTTGGGGCAAAGGGAAAAGACCTCTATACGGTCTTTATTGATCTAGAGAAAGCTTATGATAGAGTACCTCGAGATTTGATTTGGCAGGTGTTGGATAAGAAAGGCATCTCTAAACACTACATCGACTTAGTGAGAGATATATACGATGGAGCGCTAACTAGTGTATGAACAACTAGTGGAGAGACGAATGAGTTTTCAGTGACAATAGGTCTACATCAAGGGTCAGCATTGAGCCCGTACCTCTTTGTCTTAGTTATGGACGACCTAACTAGCCACCTACAGGATAAGGTACCGTGGTGCATGTTGTCCGCAGATGACATAGTACTGATTGATGAGACCCGAAACGGCATCAACACAAAGTTAGAACTTTGGAGGGATGCTCTAGAATCCGAAGGTTTTAAAATTAGTCGGACTAAGACAGAGTATATGGAGTGTACGTTTAGTAAAAATAGAAGTAGAGACGATGAAGTAGTCAAGATTGATGGTCAGAAAGCACATGTCAGCCAAGTAGAAAATGGTGATCGTATGTGGAGGTTCAATATTTGCACCAAGAAAGCATGTTTTCAAGTGGCACCATCAAGTGGTAGAATCAGTTCTTCAGAGCTTTATGGAAGAATCACGACATCTAAAGCAAACTTCAGTCACAAAACTATGAGGAAATACAAGGTTGGAGAAACTCTAGTTCATGAACAAGCCCTTGCTACCCATCTTCAACCACTCCACATTCACATTATTTGATCAATGTGTTCTAGTACCAAAACTGTAAAGTTTCTTTTTATTGGTGCAACAATGTTAGCAAGCCGATGGGATGTACCTGATGTATGCAGCCAGCAGACTATTATCAATGATCTCATGCAGTAAATAAATATATTCGGCCTCAAGCTCGGCCTCAGTAAGACTTTGATGAGTCTTATGCATACCCTGTGTTATTATTGTGAGGCGATGGAGAAAACTTTTATGGGATTTGAAAGTGCTGGCCACCAAAGTTTGGCCATAAAAACAATTGTTTTTCAACCATGGAGAAGAGTGGCCATTTTAAAGGGGCACTCATGTTTTACCCTTCAGTACCAGGTGATTTTAGTGCTTCTACGTTTGCAAGGGCATTCAAATGTAATTTATCAAATCGCAGCCCATTGTCCACCATGTCAGCCAAGTGGATAACCATCATAGATGCATTCAGGTTATTCAACCTCATGCTTTACAAAGAACATTTGCGTGGATATGTTGGACTTCACCATCAGCTAAGGGAAGTGGATGATGCCGCAACAAAAACTCGAGTCGATGATGCCGCAACAAAACTAAAGGAGTATTTAGTTAGAATTTAGTCGGTTGCTGAATTTTTTTGGTTTTAAGATCGAATGAAGGCCGGATTTAATTTCCCAAACTCCTTTCGCATCATTTGTAAAGATCGAAGTGCTGGCGGACTGTGGCCCCCGTAAGGATGGGTTACCAATTTCCATTGACAACATTAATATGACTTTCAACATGACAAGCGAAAGGTGACCAGCCCCGTGCACTATATGGGTGCCAACAAAAACACAGAACAAACCATACCAAGATACTTTGCAGAACCTTGGAAAACCAAGCAATGCTGGAGAAAATCTATGCAGCATTAGAACGTTTTTTATTTCTGACAAAAGAATTCAACATACCCCGGTCATTTACAATGAACCTTGCTCAACATGATCCGATGGCTCAAAAGAGCTTCCCCATGTCCAAGGAAAATGGATGAAATTTCCATGGATCTGGAGATATCTTATGTGATTTTCATGTTCTTGATTTGTTCTTGTTACCAAGAAAGCTAATTTGGTAATCAAATAAGATGGCCAACATGTGTGAATAAGTATACTTTGCAGACATGGCATTTCTCATCATTGAAGGGGCACCTTAACTCCTATCATAGTTTTTGAATTTGTATAAATATCATTGACTGTTGTTTGGCTCTCAATAACTACTTCCCAGAGTAATAATACGAAAAGGTGAAACTTGATGTGCTGGAGAACCAAATACAACAAAACGAAATAATGAACTATTTCATTTTCTATATCACAAAGGTCCATGTAATGTCCTCATTTTTTAAATTATACTCACACCAATGGAACCTCGGAATGTGAATAGAAGGAAAGTGGTTATACCTGAGAACAATCACGAGTACGCATTGGTTGGAAAGATGATATATCCTCCTCATTCAAAACCATCTGTCTCAAATTCTGCATCAAGTTCACAAAAAGATTATCCTTACAAACAAACTTTTCCTGATGAAACCAACCTCAGCAACTCATAAAACTATAGTAAATGGTTGGTCTTACAAGAACACCCAGATAAAATCAAGCATTTAACTAGTGTTCTGAGACTCGATTGGGGCCACTCGGACTTGGCCGAGTAACTCGGCCTTGCCCTACAGGCAAGGAGAGTTTTGGGCGAGTAGGTTGTACAGCATTTTTTCAAATATATAATTAAGTTTAAGTCAAATATCCTTGAATGGCTTCACAGTTAGTCCGCAAGCATTGTTCTGAGACTCAACTGGGAAAACTCGGACTTGGCCGAGTAACTCGACATCGCCCTATAGGTGAGGAGAGTTTTTGGCGAGTAGGTTCTACAACATTTTTTCAAATATATAACTAAGTTTAAGTCATATATCCTTGAATGGCTTCACGGTTAGTCCACAAGCATTGTTCTGAGACTCGACTGGGGCCACTCGGACTTGGCCGAGTAACTCGGCCTCGCCTTATCGGCGAGGAGAGTTTTGGGCGAGTAGGTTGTCCAACATTTTTTCAAATATATAATTAAGTTTAAGTCAAATATCCTTGAATGGCTTCACGGTTAGTCCTCAAGCATTTATTTTAGCATGGTCGGGTTCAAATCCCGTTGGAGAACACCATTTTTAAAGACCGCCATTTTTTTTCCATATGATGGGAACAAAGGCGGTCATTTTTTTTCATATGATGGGAGTTTCAATAAAAATGTAGCCCCCTACGAATGGAACTCAAGACCTCTAGTAAAGAGTTATGTTGACACAGGGTGGCCTAACCAGTATGTCACTCGCTACTTGATTGTTAGAAGTGGCACTCATATTATATATAACAATTTTTTATCTTTATTTTTGTAAAAAAAAAAAAAAAGAGCTAGACTCAAGGATTTACTCGAACTCGCTCAAGTAACTCGCCTCATCCAAGGCCTGAGTACCTTGGCCGAGTCGATTTTCGAACATTGCATTTAACTAGATCATAAATAGCAAATGGACAATACTACGTGCCGCAGCTGAGCTGTACAATGCCTATCTATTGTGGCTCAACAAAGCATGAAAAGTTTAAAGCTGTAAAGATGGTTTCTAGTTCAAAGTTTGGAAAAAAGAATATAGCTTGTGAAAAGAAAAATATGAAAACTATCCATCAATGCAGTCTTACCATATTAATTTGATCAAGATCCACACCGCGGTGTAGCATTCGCTCACGGCGTTTCAAAGCAATTATTTCCTTGCGATGTTTTTTCCTTTTGCCTGCAGGAAATAAGAAGGCAATCACTTGGAATTCATAACATTTCAGAGATAATAACTGAGCTAAGAACCTCTTATATATAAAGGAACTATCTTAGATGTGTAAATGATAATGATTAGTTATCAAATATACTGATTAACTGAGTGGTCTATGGAATGTACCAGTTACACACTAACGGAAAGGGCAGGAATAGAAGCAATAGACAACATGGGAAAACATGGGCTCAAAAAATATTAAATTCATCAGACAAAGTTTTTCTCTATAGGCATAAAATACTTTAATCCTTAATGATTCCACTAAGAAAAGAAATACAGAAACAAGGAATGAAGGTTTTTTATTTTGATTTTAAAACATGGGATAAATGAGAAGTACAAGGAAAATAACATCCACTATAGAAGACATGAAATTCCCAATCTAAAACGATTCCATTTCAGTTCCAAGATATGGTAGTTTATTCACCAGTGAACCAGCTTCCAGACATGACAACTTGGAGAAAAACAAGCCCTTAGGTGCCATTTGGGTCCTTGAAAAAAAAACTACCAGGCAGCGGTTTTCTAGGGAGATTGCCCATTTATGCTGTTGGGAAACAAAATCTAGCGCAGAAATTTTTTTCTGCAAGAAATTGTACTTTATTTTGAGCCCATAAAAGAGAAAAATTTTCTCTCAACAACCTAAAAACTGAGGGGAATTTATGAAAACAATACCATATTTTGGGCAATGATCTCATGCAACAGTTGTATCATAGGATAATGCAACCACACTTCTAAAAACCCATGTTTGTGGTATTTGTATGACCCAAAATTTTGCACACACACTCTTTTCATCTCAATAATCAATCCCTAAAATAAAAAGTTGGATTTGAACCCTAGATATGGTCAAAATGAGTCCCCTCCAACAATGAATCTAGACCATTCATTTGGTGAATTTCAAGATCTTAACCTTTAATAACTCAAAATCACTTTTTTCTTTTTTAACATTGTTCATTTAATGATAATAAAGCCATCTAAAAAAATTGGTAAAGAAAAAATAAATCTAACCATCTTATCAAAATGGATGGCCTATGTTAATTGAGCTAAAAACATATTTTGTAGGTTCCATTTTCAAATTTTTCTTTTTAGTAATTGTTCATTAGAATGAAAAAAGTGTATATTTCAAAATTTGGATCAAACAAATGGCCCCAACATAGTTTTTAAAGATTGTTGCATTATATTACTATGCAACCGTTGCATGAAATTTTAAATTTTACGCTCAAGTCCCACTTCTTGATAGTGCACATTGTATTTTAAGACTATTTTCTCTTCTATAGATTGGATTGAGCTCATATTTGGGGAGTTGACACTTATCACCATCTCACATTTGCAAAAAACTACAAAACAATATCTTATAGTAAATAAAATAATCAAAATATCTCGAATATTATAAAACATGTAGGGGTATTCTGGTCATTTTCAACTCATTTTTAATTTTCACACGTACATTATAGTGAGAAGTATGGCTGCTCCAAATTTGAGCTTAATTGGACATCAAGGAAAAAGAACAAAATAAAAATACAATATTCAAAAAATGTGGCACTTAAGTGTAAAATATAAACTACATCAAACTATTTTTAAACTTCGAAAATAAAAAAGGATTTTTCTGTTAATTTTCCCAAAAAAAAATTTCCCTATCAGATTACCTCACAGAGCCAAACAAAAACATAAAATAAAATGAGCAGACAGCTACTTGGAGAAGTCGCAATTTCTTCTCGTCTCTCCCCCTAGCCATCTCTCTCTCTCTCTCTCTCTCTCTCTCTCTCTCTCTCTCTCTCCCTTGCTCTCTCTCTCCTTATTCATAGATATCTTCTTCTACTTCCATCTTACTCTAGCCATTTCCTTCTCTCTATCTCTACCAGGTTTTCCTCTCTAGAGATTTGCATTTTAAGGTAGAAATTGTATCTTCCAGGTTGCATCAATATGCTAACCAGACAACAGAAGCCCATTTTACAGGAAATGCTTTTCGCAAGAAACATATTTCACATGAAATAGTTTTTTCCAAACAATTTTTTTCTTGGGATCCAAATGGGGCCTTAGAGGAATCCAAAATTTCCCAGAAAGCACACACAAATCTCTACCAGATGGAACAAATGTTGCCCAATCCACCAAATGATGTATACGGCCCTACAATGAGTGGCACATCCTCTAGCATAAACCATTGTCAAAATATAAGAGTTCTTACCGCTTAATGTTAAGCAACCAGTTTGGATGCATCATTTAAAATTTTTCTCATTAAAAAAAAAAAAAAGGTTACAAGCTTTCCATGTTGAATATAGAAGTCTTGCTATTTTATTTATTTATTTTATTTTGTCCATAGATTGTTTGGTGGAGCAGAAAGCGGGAGAGAACATGAGAGTTTTCTCTTATCCTGGAGAAAAAACCCCATTAAACCCATTGCCCATGTCTATATTTTCTCTCTCTTCCTTCAAACTCCACAAACTCACAACACAAACTCCATCAATGACAAGATGCATGAAAACTTCTACTTTAGGGAATCCACAAGCATGCAGCTCTCTTTAGGAAAAACCCTAGCTTCTTCTTACAGCCAATGGAGAGAGAGAGGGAGAGGAGAGAGAGAGAGAAGACATGGGAGATGCAAGGGAGCCAAGAGCCTAAGATGTGTGTGGGAGAGAGAGAGAGAGAAAGAGAGAGAGAGAGAGAGAGAGGAGAGAAGAGAGAAAAATTGCTCAAAATCATGTTACACATAAGAACACAGCCTCAAGCTCTAAAGCTAGGCCTCTAACTCAGTGTGGTGTGTTATTTAGGGCATTAGAAGAAGGTGTGGTACTAACCATTGAATCTGGCACGGTACTGCAAAGTAGATGGACAATGTGGCAAGCATGACTCATAGCTGTTTAGGGTATCATCATCTTTGAGGATTAGCCTTGTAGATAAGGCATTATTGCTTTGCTTGTACATCAACAAAAAGGGCCTTGAACACAGAGACAGTAGAGATCTAATCAACCTAAACAATGAACTTGGAGCCTTTAGAGCACCTAATGTAACACTCTCATAATCTTGACACATATTGCTTGATTCCCCTAACTCTCCATCTACCAACATTTTCTCCGACTGCAAAGACAGAGATAGAAACATAGACCCTAATCCTAACGCTAGAGAGAGAAAGGGATTGATTACTATGGTCTAAGGGTTGAGGCCAGAGAGTGAAAGAGAGAGTTCTAGAGAGAGGTTATAGAGAGTTGTGGTGGGGAACTTCAGAGAGGAAGGGTGGGTCTGAGAGAGATGCCAAAAAAAATTCAACAAGAAGTAGATTTCTTTCCAACAAAGATTTTGAGGCAAATTTGATTTTTTTTTTTTATTAAATTATTAGTATCTGAGAAACACGCCGTATTCAAACGTGTCCAAACCCATTAAAAAAAAAAAATTGGTTGTAATCCAAACAACTACCACATTTGGATGCATCCAAACCATAGTTGTTGGTAATGCCTGATATTGGAATTGATTTAGGAAGCAGTGGTGCTGAATCATGGGTGGCCAGGAAATTCCTATTGTTGGAACCCTCGTCCATTCAATCTGATTCGGGTTTCGAGATTTCGATTCCAGGGGGATGGGAATCTCGATTCCAAGGAGGATGGAATCTCGATTCCATATGTGGATGAAACTTGGATCTATTTCGGTCGAAACACGATTCTCAAAAACCAGGAATCTCGTTCCTAGCGATTCCTATTGTACGAACAACTATTCCTAAGACATGAATCTTCAATCCGGTCGCGATTCCGTGATTCCGGTTCTTAAAATGATTCGGGTTCCCAGGGGTTTCCAACAACTATGGTTTGAATCGATTGAATGGATTGAATTTTAGATTGAATGAAGATTGAATGGATTGAATGGACGAGGGTTCCAACAAACTAATCAGAATCGAGATTTCGAGATTCATTTGGAAATTCCTACCTTTGTAGAATCACACACCCAACCATTTGGAACCATGATGGAAAACAAGAAATGAGTTTCATATGGCAAAACATTCCAGGTTATAGAATATAATTAAGCAAGAATCCTTAAGTATTCAAACCATAGTTGTTGGAAACCCCTGGGAACCCGAATCATTTTAAAAACCGGAATCACGGAATCGCGACCGGATTGAAGATTCATGTCTTAGGAATAGTTGTTCGTACAATAGGAATCGCTAGGAACGAGATTCCTGGTTTTTGAGAATCATGTTTCGACCGAAATAGATCCAAGTTTCATCCACATATGGAATCGAGATTCCCATCCCCCTGGAATCGATACTCCAGGAGTCAAGATTCCTAAATATGCGGAATCGGGTTTCTGACATCTATGGCATCGAGTTTCTAACATATGTGGAACAGAGATATATTCATATTTCGTATCGTGATTCTAATATATTTGGGATCAAGTTTCTGAAGTATATGGATCAGCTATCCATGCCAGTTTGAGATCGAGATTTACGATAATATGGACTATGGAATGCATTTAACGACCCATACCAGGAATCGAGATTTCGTTTTTATGGAGAAGGAAGCGACAAACACATCTTGAGTCTCATCAACTTTAGAACCTATATTGGATGTTTTTTATTAGAAGGTTCCCAAATTTTAAAGTGATTGTGTTGACTATTGAACTTACGGCCATTATATACAAACAACAAGTATTTCTAAATTGTGATTTTGACTTCATTATTATAAAGACAAACTAGGATTATGTCTACCGCATGGTTTTACTTTTAATTGTATGTTTTGTATTTACCAGTTATATTTTAAATTTAAAGTAAAAGCGATCCAGGGTGGCACAAGTAAAATAATGAAACCCTGTAACCACTAGAAGCATTCAAAGGAAGATTTCTACTCCAATTGACGTGGAATCAAGATTTAATCCTCGCTGGAATCCAGATTCAATATATTTGGGAACGCCTACCCACAATTAATTGGTTCAAGTTTCTAAAGATGTGTTGGCTCGAGATTCCAAATTTAAGGAATCAAGTTTCCGTGGCTCCAATAAATGGTTTCTAAAGATATGTACAGTGTCAAGTTTTTGGATGCAATTGTTTTCTTCAAAAGTCAATTGAATTGTCATCCTCCCATACTGCACAAGTATCCATGAAAATTTCCTACTTGACACCTAAAATACAAATTTAAATGGTCATATCCAAGACATAGTTACCCAAAGCAATTCACAAACTGAATCGACTTAGAAATTGGAAGCGTGGAATCGCCACCTGCTGGAAGGTTCTTGTTTTCAGAATCGACGTCCCTACAAGAGGAATCATGGGGGATGAGATTCCTATTTTTAGGAATCGAGATTCGACCAAAATAGAAATGAGATCCCTACATAGATGGAACCGAGATTCCTAGCACTTTGGAATCAAATTTCCATCCTAGTTGGAATCGACCAATATAGAAACAAGATTCCTTTATCCATGAAATCGAGATTCCGATATTTTTCAAATCGAGAGCAAACTGAGAGGAAAACAATACACATTTCAATGCCATTGTCCGACATGCCATACATACATGTTCACATTATATGTAGTACATTATTTCTAACATTTTGGAGTTGCAATCTCTCCATTGGATCAATATAATGTATACTTTAAGAATTAAGTAGAGAATGTGAACCACTACTTTCGTTTCTATTGGTCATTTCATGCTAAAACATATAACTATAACTTGTAGCTTGAAATTAAGCGTCTAACTTGAGTAGTTTGATGCCTTGAAAACTTATAAACATCACTTCTCATAAAAAAGCAAAAAAACAAGTGGGGAAGTGGTAGAATTCTGGTAAATATGAAAAACAATTTCAACAAGTGTAGAATCGAGATTCACCAATTGCAGAATCGAAAATCAGTAAATATTGGAAACGAGATTCTATTAGTGTTGGAATTGAGATTTCCAAAATAAGGGATCAAGATGCTAGACTTTATGGAAATGGGTATCCTGAGGATTCCTATTCAGAATCGCCGAATCGGGGTTCCAAATCAGCATCATGACTTCTGGTAATAGATTCGGATAATTATGGTCCAAGATAAAACACATTTAGTATGCCAATAGGAAACCAATCATCTCACAGCCCACTCCATGATTTCCAATCTAATAAGTCCATTCATGGACTCCAATAAGCACCCAGGCATGGTTCAAGAAACTCAGCATCTAAATAAGAACGTTAGGCTTCAAAGATTCCCATCAGGCCAATCATTAGAAAATGGCTAATGAAGTCATACTCAATGAAGAAGAAAACTATATTAGTTGTTCCTGATGAGCACCTTTCTAGTTTGTTATGAAGGCTTTCGTGATATCAAAAAGTGAATGTGGCAACTTTTTCTTGACAAAAAACGTCATAACTATCATACCGGCCCCACAACCTCCCCATGCACTTACAATCACTTCCACCATTCTAAGGCAGCTGCTAGTATGTGCGCTATATCTGCATCAATCTGTACAAATTGCTCCTCACTGGCTTTTGAATCATCTAGTTCAAGAAATTCATATAGTGCATGTTAAACTGCTCATTACTGACCCAAGTCTTATTTTCCAAGGAACATTCTGCCTACTCTTGTGAAGCAGATATAAAACAACTCATTCTATAGGAAATTAGAAATGTTGTCATCATTTTCTCACGAGAACCAAAACACAAAACGCAAACATGTAGAGATCCATCATTTAACCAGGTATTAGATGGATAAAAGTAGTGAATCCCATGCATTGATCAGCATTTCATAGGGGTTCCAATTTATTTGTTTGAATCAAAATTTTGTTTGACAGTAATGCATATATGTTATGCAGACAGCCTTCTTGAAAATCCTAGACAATGAGTTGACTTTAAAACAGTACGTTCCTGGTCCTGCTTTACTGGACGCACGTGCAAAATGCTTATTAACTAACTTAGGCCTCATGGATAACTTAGGCCTCAAGAATATGGATCATGTAAATCAAAATTCAAACCCTTTGCTCAAAAGATAGCCCAAAGTTACAGCAATTTCAGAACTAAGCATGTTTCCAAAACAAATTTAATTGTTCACCTGTATTTGCTGATGCATGTCAACATTAGAAAAGAGTTGACATCTTTAGTCGGACTCGATCATAACTTGCATAAGGAATGACCCTTGTAAAGCCAATCAGCAGTCCTAATGTTGACTCAAGAGTTAGAAATGTAATTGGCATCCGTTTCAAGAACTTGGTTAGCCGACTCAAGACCAAATAGATTAGCTCCCCTGAGAATGGATAATAATCTAAGGAACACCTTATACTTCTAGAAGTGTCGCCTCAGGAGTTCAACAGTACAAATTGATTAAACACAAGAAAAATGGAAGATATTACAAACAAGAATTATGGAATACATAGTCAGACTAAACATTTTCAGTAAGAGCTTTCATTATGAGAATTGATGCCAAAAGTATCGAAAGAACAGGGAGCAATTATAGTGTGAAAGAGCCATGCAGTTAGAATGTGAATTCAAGAATGTTTTCCAAGTAAAAGAATCAAAGACAAGGGACAGCAGTCACAAGTAAACAACAGTTGCTGCATATATTGATTACCAGGAAGATGCACAATAAGATAGCCAACAAATACCTGAAAGATTCTTGTATGCTTTACTTTTATGAGCTTCAGAAGCCCAAGACTGAGCCAATGGAACCACATGTTTTCTTCTCCTAAAGGTGCTCCTAGAATCCTTAATAAACAAAACACTGTTCAAAATATTCCCTAGATCATTACTCCTATCATTCCACTCCACAGCTGATGGAGTTTTATATTTCGACTTTGCTTTACTACTATTTCCCAGTGTTTTTTTGGTTGAAGTTTTTCTTGAAAGTGATTGAAACATATCAACCCCAACCAAGTCATCAATGCTTCCATCACTGCTATCGTGGGAAGAACTAGAAGGGTTCCCAACTTCATGCGGGCCACCAAGAGGAGAAGAATATAGTGAGAGTTCCCTTTCAGCTAACCACTTGGTTTCTAGCAGTTTAGAGCTACCACCTATTCCTTGCAAATAATCTTCTACCAGCTCATCATCAATATCAGAGTCATTATCAGTATCTATTTCACTTGAATAATCACTCTCTGACGACCCAATAGAATTGCCAGAAGAGGAGGCAGAATTCTCTGAGCTTTCATCGTCGAGTGACTCTGCATACTCATTCATCAACCCATCGTCTTCATCACTCTGCCCCGGTATATCTTCAGTGTAAAATTTTACCGTTCCAATAGCCAAAAACCCATCATTCCTTTTGGAAGGTTTACCCTTTGTTCTAACCCCTTTGGAAGACTGGTCATATTTCTGATCATATCTCATATTGCTCTCAGATTCCTTCTCCAATGCAGAATCTTTATTGAGTTTCTCAAGTTTCATGACATCATCCTTTTCAACAGAAGGGATATGACTTTCTCCACTCTCCTTTTTCTCCAGCATAGCACTTGTTGTCGACTCCATCTTGTGATATCCCAGCCCTCTTTGACAACCCTCACCCAGAATTAAATCATCATCACAATCATAAATCAAATGTGTATTCACAAACTTTTCACTTGGTGTTCGGTCAATATATGCAGCAATTTGGGAATCTTCAGGACAATCTTCAATGTTTGCAGTTGCATTGCCTGGACTTCTCTCTTGAAAACAATTGCTTGATAAGACAGGCTCCTTCTGTTCAGCATACAGTTCCTGGAACTACTTTGTTTTAATATAAATACTAGAAAAATACTTTAGTAACCAGAGTTTTGGAAAAGAAAGCCAGATTGCATGGCAAGTTGGCCCATCGAAATCCCAAATCAACTTGGGAATTGTTAAACAAAGATGAAATGATATAAAAAAAGGTAAAAAGTTCCTTTTAAGAATAATTGCAATGACCCAGGGACTCAAATTAATTGTAGAAAGACAAGGCTAGTCAAAAGCCTTCATCTTCCTCCAGCAAAGTTTTTTTGTTTAAAGTGTGTGCAATTCACTAAACCAAGCTGGACTTGGGTAACTACAGAGTTGCCTGCCCAAGTTCTCAAACATCCCTGAATTAACAGATATGACCTTAGGTCTAACTAAAAATTATTAGAATAACCAAAATTTTTTAAAACTGAACAAGATCACATTCAAATACAGTCTGACAAAAGTTCAATGTAAAATAGAAGAAAGGTAAAATTTATAGGAAACAAAACATGTAACCACAATCAAAATGCAGATAAGATAAGGGATGTTCCTTTTTGTTAGATCAATCAAGTAAAACAATGGACCAAATGACACAGATAATATGAAAGAAAAGACGAAGAACAGCGGGTGTGGGTGTGGGTGTGGGTGTGGGGGTGGGTGTGGGTGTGGGTGTGGGTGTGGGTGTGGGAAGGGAGAGGATGGAAGACAAATATGTCACCTAGGGAATAAGAGGAAAGGGAAAATGATTAATGAAAAACATTACCTCAAGTTTCATACCAGAGCATCCAACAGTCTCAGTATCAGGATACACATAGCCAAAAGCATTGAAAGTGGCCTCGAAGGATTTGCCATTTGATACAGAGCCTCTCCCTCTACCCATATTTGATGAAACAGAACCAGTGTTTGAAGGGGTCTTGATGGACATTTCATTTGATACAAACCCTTTCCCTTGGCATAAATTTGATGGAGCTGAACGAGATGTCCCTGGCATTTCAACATTTACTTCATAATCAGTTTCCCCCACTAAATTCCAGAGAAAATAAAGAAAAACAAAGAATCTCATAGAATGGAGGTGCACAAACTCCACAAAGCCCAATCAAGGAAACCATAAAAACAAGATATATCACACCCAAGAGAGAGAGAGATAAAAGACAAGGCCACCAATCAATAGCTTTGAAAATCACACACAAATCAAACCCCCAACTTTTCTTTTAAACTCACAAAGACAAGCAAAATTGAGATAATTAAAAAGGCCATAAAGAACCTTGATTTGTTAGGTCCCTTCTACTGGGAGAACAATCATTTGCCCAATCTGCCAAAACCCCACCAGCAACAAATGACCCTCGGCCTAACCCTTTGCTCTTGTTGAACCTCTTTTTTCCACCGCCCATCACCGCAACAGACAAGAAACTTTAACCTATTTCATATGTTCAATGTTACAAAGGATAAACACATATACTATAGTAAAATTCTAGGTCATGGAAATCAGTAATTTATCATATAGGAGAATCATCAGTTTCCAGTAAATAAATCACAAAACAAAAAAAAGGAAATGACAACTTACTAACCTAAATTAAAATAATAGTTTTCAGTGACAAGATAGAAAGGTTAGATAATCATAAATATTAAGATGAAATGAAATGGTCATGAATATGTCAGGATCATGTGAGAACTATTGTAACAGAAATCCTAAAACCAAGGATTAGGATGTACATAGAGACATTGAAATGCTCATGGCGACACCAAATCACCAATCTTAGAGACGATTATCTTTATTGAGATATTTGAGTTTGGTTGGAATACTATCATGTTTGTCTTTTTTATTGAAATTCACTGGATAATTGCTGGGATTTTAACAATTAATAACATAAAAGGAAATATGTCATAATCAGGACTAGATAATAAATAATTGGAAAACCAGAAAGAATGGGTACAAATACGCATCGAACAACTCAAATAATAGGCCATTTCCGATGCTGAAATTGATATTTCTCGTAACGAAACTAAATGAAACGATATTTTCATTACAAAAAAAGATCATTCAAATGAGCTTGCAAATGATAAGTTACATAAGGGGAAGAAAATCGAAACAACAGGGATTAATATCCTGAAAATGGATCAATAAGTGAGAAAAAAACCCCGGTTTGACATGAAAGGACCTAAGAACATTTTGGTCTTTTACAGCACAAAGAAGACTTCTGATTTACTCAAAATTCATAAAAATTATAAAAATATAAAAATAAGAACTGAGAAACGGCATAAATTTACAGTCATTAAAACCCAAGAAATAAAAGAGCCCTAATCCATTGCAAGAACAGAAATAAATTTACAGACATTAAAACCCAAGAAATAAAAGAGCCCTAATCCACTGAAAGAACAGAAATCACAGAAAAGAACCTCAGTAGAAGCAATTCCTTACCTCAAACGGAATTCTCGAGATAGAACTCTAGGAAGCTACCAAATCCATCCAAAAAATAAAAACGAATTTCTTCCCAAAACCATATACAAAGAATAGATAGAAGGAAATGAATAAATTTAGACAAATACATACCACTATATAAGATTGCAGAATGACCAATTCAATAGATTCAAGAACGGAGATTTAAGTGAGCTCAAGGAATGGACAGAAAGGTCGACATAAATGAGCGATAGAGATGATCCGTACCAGTTAAAAAGTGACGAGCACAAAGATACACGAACAGCTTGCAGATTCGGAAATAAAATAACAAAAATCCTAAAATCCTAAGGGCATGTTTGGGTGAATTTAAGGCATGGATTCCTGCGTATTGTCTAAATCCATTGTTTGGAGTGTTCAAGGACTAGGAAACTTTAAAATCGGGAAAATCAAAATCATCGAAATAAAACCAATTCAATGGTTGGAGCATTCGGTAGGTATAAAAATTTTAATGAGAGAAAATACTTAAATTTTTTAAAAAGAAAGACTATCTCAAAATTTTTAGAGAAAAAAACAATCTCAAAATTTTTAGTGAGAAATTTTTTGAGAAAAAAACTATCTCAAAATTTTTGAAGAGAAATTTTTAGAGAGAAAAACTATCTCAAATTTTAACTTTTAGAGTGAGAAAGTACGTTAACGTTTTAGGGAGAAAAAGTACGTTAAAATTTTAGAGAGAAAAAGTATTAAATTGTTTTAGAGAGATAAACTATCTCAAAATTTTAAATAGAAAATTTATCTCAAATTTTTAACTCCTAGAGAGAAAAGTATTTTTAAAATTTTAAAGAGAAAAAATTTGTTAAAATTTCAGAGAGAGAAAGTATGTTAAAATTTTAAGTAAAAAAAGTACCAAATTTTTTTTTAGAGATATAACTATCTAAAAATTTTAGAGAGATAAATTATCTCAAATTTTAAATTTTAGAGAAAAACTATCATATTTTAGAGAGAAAAAATACATGTAAATTTTTAGAGAGATAAACTATCTCAATTTTTTAGAGAGAGAAACTATTTCAAAATTATAGAGGGAGAAACAATCTCATATTTTAATTTTTATAGAGAGAAACTATATCAAATTTTAAAGAGAGATCCTAAAAATTTTTAATTTTAGAGAGAATACCTAAAAAGTTTTAGAAATAGAAACTATCTCAAAAAATTTTAGAGAAATAAACTATATCAAATTTTAAGTTTTTTTAGAGAATGAAATTATCTCAAACTTGAAGTTTTAGAGAGAGAAAGCATCTTTAAATTTAAGAGAGTAACTATATGAAATTTTAGAGAGAGAGAAAAAGTGCATAAAAAAAAATTTTTAAAAAAAAAGTATCGTAAAAATTTTAGAGAAAAATTATCTCAAATTTTAGCTTTTCGAAAGAGAAAGTATCTTAAAATTTGAGAAAAAAACTATATCATATTTTAAAAAGTGAAACTATCTCAAAATTATTGAAGAGGGGAACTATCCTAAAATTATTGAAGAGGAGAACTATCTCAAGTTTTAAATTTTAGAGAAAGAGTATCTTAAAATTTTAAAAAGATAAATATTAAATATTAGAGAGAGTAAAGCAACAAAAAATTTTAGAGAGAGAGAAATTATCTCAAAATTTTTAGATAGACAACTTCAAATTTTAAATTTTGGATAAGAAGTATAGTAAATTACTATGTCAAATTTTAGAGAGAAAAACTATCTAAAATTTTTTATGGATACACTATCCCAAATTTTGAGTTTTAGAGAGAGTAAGTATATAAAAAAATTTAGAGAGAGAAATTGTATCAAATTTTGTTACCAAACAATAGACATGGAAGTGATTACAAGGAATCCATGAATTTTGTATAGTTTGTCCAAACAAGAGATTTGAAGAATCCATGACAAAAATCTTTGATATTGAAAATCCATAGATTTCTTTGGTTTTCAAATATCTAAGATTCCTAATTTCCCCCTATCCAAACAGACCTTTGGGCTCGTTTCGATAGGAAGAAATCAATAATCTTGATCTTTGAAATTCTAAGTAAATCTATAGATTTTCAATATCAAGGATTTTTGTCATGGATTCCTCAAATCTCATGTTTGGATAAGCTATACAAAATTTATGGATTCCTTGCAATCACTTTCATGTCCATTGTTTGGTAACAAAGCTTGATACAATTTCTCTCTCTAAAATTTTTATTTACTTTCTCTCTCTAAAATTCAAAATTTGGGATAGTGTATCTATAAAAATTTTGAGATAGTTTCTCTCTCTAAAATTTGATATGGTTTATCTCTCAAAAATTTTATATACTTTCTGTCCAAAATTTAAAATTTGAAATGGTCTATCTAAATATTTTGAGATAATTTCTCTCTCTAAAATTTTTAGGTACATTACTCTCTCTAAATTTTAATATAATTTCTCTTTCTAAAATTTCAAGGTACTCGCTTTCAAACTTAAAACTTGAGATAGTTTCTCTTTCTAAACAATTTTAAGTAGTTTCACTCTCTAAAATATGATAGTTATTCTCTCAAATTTTAAGATGCTTTCTCTTTCAACGAAAATTTGAGATAATTTCTCACTAAAAATTTTGCGATAGTTTCTTTTTCTAAAAACTTTATGTACTTTCTCTCTATCTAAAATTTGATATAGTTACTCTCTTAAATTTTAAGATACTTTTTCTCCCTAAAACTTCAAGTTGGAGATACTTCCTCTCACTAAAATTTTGAAATAGTTTCTCTCATTAAAATTTGATATATTGTTTCTCTAAAATTTGATATACTTTCGAGATAGTTTCTCTCTCTAAAATTTCATGTACTTTCTGTATCTAAAATTTGATATAGTTTATCTTTCCAAAATTTTAAAATACTTTCTCTCTCTAAAATATAAATTTTGTGATAGTTTCTCTCTCCAAAAATTTTGAAAAAGTTTCTATCTCTAAAAAATTTTAGGTAGTTTCTCTCTCTAAAATTTGATATAATTTTTATCTTTAAATTTTTAATATATTTTCTCTCTCTAAAATTCAGAATTCCAAATAGATTCTCTCTAAAACTCAAAATTCGAGATAGTTTCTCTCTCTAAAAAATGAGATATATCTCTCCCTAATTTATTTTTTTTTGCAGTTTCTCTTTCTAGAATTTATAATAATTTATCTCTAAAATTTTAAGAATATTTGCTCTCTCTACAATTTCAAGAATTCTTTCTCTCTCTAAAACTTAAGATTTGATATAGCTTCTCTATCTAAAAATTAAAATATGAGTGTTTCTCTCTCTAAAAGTTTTGAAATAGTTTCTCTCTCTCTAAAAAATTGAGATAGTTTCTCTTTCTAAAAATTTTCTTGTACTTTCTCTCTCTAAAGTATGATAGTTTCTCTCTAAAAGCTAAATTTTGATATAATTTCTCTCTCTCAAATTTTGAGAAGTTCATCTCTCTAAAAAAATTGGTACTTTCTCTCTCAAAAATGTTAACATACCCTCTCTCTAAAATTTTAACATACACTCTCTCTAAAAGTTAAAATTTATCTCTTTAAAATTTTGAAATAGTTCATCTTTCTAAAAAATTCTAGTACTTTCTCTCTCAAAATTTTTCTCTCTAAAATTGTAACATACTTTCTCTCTCTAAAATTTTAACATACTTTCTCTCTTTAGAAGTTAAAATTTTAGATAATTTCTCTTTCTAAAAATTTTGAGATAGTTTCTCTCTTTAAAAAATTTAGTTACTTCTCTCTCTAAAATTTTCATAACTACCAAATGCTCCCTATGTTTCGGGTCAAGGGAGCCAATGAGTGAAATCCATGGGCCCTAGAAATGCAAAAAATAGTTCTTGGTGTGGAAATGAAATCATGGAAAAGTAGGTCTTATTTCTATGATTTTGATTTTCCTGATTTTAAGCATCCTAGTCATTATGCAATCAAAATGATAGATTTTGGCAAAATCCAAGATATTAGAAATCCATGCCTTAAAATCCGTTGCCGAAATAGGCTCTAAGAAGGCTTGTACTAATGAGCTTAGTATGTTGTGCACCCTCGAGAGCATACTTAACTTCTAATCCCTCATAAGACCGCATGGGAGAACTTTTTCCATCATGTTTGGGAGGAGTACTTATTCTGTGTTTCCTTGCCAGCATAGTTTACTTCTACTCCCTCTATTGGAGCACCTATTTAGGAATATTTTTCAATCTAAAATTTTGAGAGCCACTTAAAAATTAATATAAGATTATTCTCGAATAAATTAAAATTTAAAATTTCTAACACTTGGATCTTTTTTTCTTGGTAGAAAGGTAATGGTTATATAGAGGGATTCAAACTCTTACTCTAATGAACAATAAACATGCACACTATCCAACACACTACTTGAGTGCTAACACTTCGATCTTAACGTTTAAAAATTAGATAGTTTCTATTTAATCTTAAGACACTGTTGTTTTTAAGTGCATAGTGAGTACAGTTAAGATTTTTTTATAAAGGTTAATCTATTTATGGGTTGAAGAGGTTACATCCTAAATTTTGGTGTCCTAAAGTTAATTTCTATTTGAAGTGTTACCTAAAGGAGTAAATGGATATTTTCTCTTATGGGAGTAGAATATCTTTTGGCTGTTACTATATTCCAGACATCTACTCCCTCAATTACAAGACATACTTGGAAGGATTTTTTCAATCTCAAATTTTGGGAACGACATAATTGTTGAGGTTGTGGCCACATTCAGGGCCTTGACGCTGGAATTTTCTATTGTTCTTGGTCACTGTGGGGTGGTCGAGGATGTGTGATTCACTAGATTTGCACAAACTAGGATTCGCAGTTAGTGTCCATAGAGTTACTAAATCCCAGATCATGATACTTGTTTAAGGATCATTATATCGAGAAAGGTTTAAGGGTTTTCCATTGGTCAGGGTTATTGACATCGCCTCATGATCGTTGTGAGCAGGGCATGATGATAGAATGATTAGTTAGTTTTGAATCACGATATGGATCGTGATATGTGTGTTCATTATGTGTGTTTGAGCTCTTGTGAGAAGGACCGGTTCTAAGAGGATATGAGCTAGATCACTGACCATGATCCTACTCACAACATGTGCATATGACAGTCGCAAAATAGGAAGCCACCTTCTATCTGATATATCCACTTTAGAGGGACATGCACATGCGCAGGAGAGAGAGCCCTCATATGGAGTGTACGTTTGCAGGGGCCATCTACAAACCACTTTATGTCTGAGACCCAGTTACCTGTTGGGTTGGCATCGATGGGCCAATCATGAAGCCCCTACTAGAGATTGTAGTAGGTGCCCAAACAATGAGAATAAACAATGCGAATAAACTCCTTAAGGATCTTAATTCTCAAAATATATATTTTTTCCATCCACTAACTTTTATGAAAAATGTTGAAATATGGCAAAAATAATTTTTGAAAATTTATAGAAATTTTTTTAATTTATTTTTAGAACCCTAAGCCCTACTTTTGCCATTTGTTTGGACTT